GGGTCTCTTGCTTCCTGGCATGTTTGGTCCCCTGGTCCATGACTGAGTTATGGTCCTTTCAGTCTGAGGTGTGTATGTCCCAGTGTCATTTGTTTGTGGGTGTATCGCTTTTGTATTTTGTGGGTTCTGTAGTGTCTGGAGGTGAGCGTATGTTCCTGTGTGTAGGCGTGTGGAAGTGAGTTGCTTGTGTGGAGTGGCAGTTGCCTAAGCGTTCTGCTATCGTGTCTTGTGGGTTTGGTTGCTTCTCTCCCCTCTCAAGAGTTGCCGGTTTATCTAGCTTCCCAATCTTGGGCAACTGTTACCTGCGCTCCCGTCTCCCTCTGTTCTAACCGGCTAGGCTACTCTCGGCTTCGAATTATGATGTTGGTTGGGAAGAACAGTGAGTCGTTGCATGTCTGGGGAGGTTAAAGTACTTATCTGTGTAGTTCTTGCATCCAGTGTCCATGGGTGTTCATCTGTCGGTGTCTCCTCAGTGCCAGTCAAATGGGTCTCGCAGCGACTTGGCTTGTGTGGCTCGCTAGTATCTCGTTAATTCAGCTGGCTGCGCCGAGTTCAGGGGTCTGTGGGGTGGTGGTCTACGTGGCGCGTCATCTCTTCGTTGTCTTGCAGCTCTTTGCATCATGGGTCCAGGTCTTTGCTCCAGTGGTTACAGGATCCAGTCGACCACTTCCGTGTGTGGCAGGCCCAATCTCCTAAGGAATAACGGTACCTCATCCGGCCACCTTAAGGGAGTCCACTCATTGTTATGTCAGGCTAGCAGGCTGAAGGGGCAGGCTATATGGTATGTTACGGCTCCTTAACAGCTGAGTTACTGGTCTTAGAGCCCTGCGGGCCTCCAGCATAAGGGGTAACAGGTCCTGATAAAGGGCCACCTCAGCTCCTTGAAACCGCCACGTCAGTTTAGAGTGGGCTTTGGACATAATCAGCTCCTTGAAACCGCCACGTCGGTTTAGAGCGGGCTTTGGACATAATCAGCTCCTTTTATCTGAAGTCATGCAGACAGCAGACTGTCTCTGGGCGAGTTAACAGCGTTCCTCGGTCTCGCTGCTCTGTGTGCCCGATCAAACCTTATACGGGGCGGTGCGTCTGGGCCTAGTATCTCACCAAACAGAGCTGTAAGTGTGGCCTCCACATTTTCTTCTCCACTTGGCTCAGGAAGATTGCGTACCCGTATGTTGGATCTGCGCCCCATGTTATCAAGATCTTCTGACTGTCGCCTGAGGTGTAGTAGGATGCTCCCTTGTCTGGTGATTGCTATATTATTAGCCTCTATGCGGTCGGTCATTGCCTGTTCTGCAGCCGCTATGTCGTTTCCCAGCATGGCGACCTCTGAGCGGATTGCCTCGTGGAGGGTGTCAGAGGTGCTCTTCAGGTCTGTTTTCGTGACCATAGTGCTGGTTAGGGTTCTGATGTCTGCCCTTATGTCTGCGAGGGAGGGTGCTAGTGTCTCAGGCGGGGAGGCCTGGCTGTCGGCCATTTTAGGGCCCTGAGTGTCTCGTGGCGGTCTGCTCGGTGTTTGCAGGTACCCGTCCAACGAGCCGGTTTGCGAGCTGCTCTGTTTTCCCTTAGGAATTTGATGGGTATCTGGGCGCTTAGTGCGACCCATTGGGAGAGTGTTTGCTGCTATTAGTGCGCTGTTTCTTGCTGTGCGGGACGGAGCTTGTGAGTTAGGCAGCCATCTCCGGAGTCCGCACATGGATTCCTTCTGCCCGGGTTTTGACCACTTGGTTACCTTGATCGGTTTTGCTTTAGTCTCCCCCTACTTTCCCACTTTCCTTCCTGACAAACCCATTTTCAGCTTTAGATACTTCAAACCTAACAGTACCTGATAAGGATGACATATTAAAGGCATGAGTTACATAATGCTCAATCATCTTGATGCCTTAGCTGGATGTGACTGAGCTACAGTCAAAATGATTAGCTGCTTTACCTCGAACAGCATGGCATCAACATTTCCCCAACTCCTCTAATGTGTGAGGGTCAGCCGCAATGAAAACGATGGGAAGCCAGGTGAGGTTTTGTACAAGTTGGTTGAGCCAAAAGGTCTTGGCTGTGGTAGCAGAGACAGCTTCAAGGCTCCACTGATTCCCAGTACTGGAAGGATTTGACATTGTATCCCAAAATATCCACTAGGGATCGACCGATATTGATTTTTTAGAGCCGATACCGATACCGATATTCTGTGAACTTTCAGGCCGATAGCCGATATAATTTGCCGATATTCTGTACATTTACCATTTTGGAAAATAAAAACTATTTCTAAAGGTAAATGCACAAAATATACATGCCACGTGTAGTGGATGCAGTGTGCTGTGTGTGTGTGTAGTGGATGCAGTGTGTGTCTTTGTGTAGTGTGTGTAGTGGATGCAGTGTGTGTCTTTGTGTAGTGTGTGTGTGTGTGTGTAGTGGATGCAGTGTGTGTTTGTGTAGTGTGTGGGTTGTGGATGCAGTGTGTGTTTGTGTAGTGTGTGTGGAGGATGCAATGTGTGTTTGTGTAGTGGATGCAGTGTGTATTTGTTTAGTGTGTGTAGTGGATGCAGTGTGTATTAGTGTAGTGTGTATATAATGAAAGCAGAGTGTTTGTGTAGTGTGTGGGTAGTGTGCGTAAAGTGAATGCTGTATATACTAAATGCAAAGTGTGTGTGTATATAATGAATGCAGAGTGTGTGTGTATTTGTGTAGTGTGTGTATAGTGAATGTAGTGTGTGTTTGTATAGTGTGTATATAATGCAGTGTATTTGTGTGCATTGTATACAAACACACACTATACAAACACACACTGCATTATATACACAGTGTGTTTGTGTAGTGTCTGTGTATATAATGGAGTGTGTGAGGGGGAATTTTTTATTAAATTATTTTTTATATATATATATTTAATTATTATTTTTTGTCCCCCCTCCCTGCTTGTTACCTGGCCAGGGAGGGGGGATATGACAGTCCCTGGTGGTCCAGTGGTATTGGCTGAGCTGGGGGGGGCGGAGAGCAAGCGCTTACTCACCTCCCAGCAGCTCCCCAGTGCAACTCTCGCGGCCAGCGTGTCGCGCGGAGCGTTGCCATGGTGATCCATGGCAACGCTCTGACGGCCGCGGGTCTCACGAGAGTTACACTTGGGAGCCGGAGAAGCTGCTGGGAGGTGAGTAAATGCTTGATGCCCGCCCCCCCAGGACCGCCGGGCTTGTAATGAGCCTGGCGGTCCTAGGAGGTATTATCGGCAATATCGGTATCTGAATTGGCCGATACCGATATTGCCGAAAATACCGAATATCGGCCGATTATATCGGTAAAACCGATAATCGGTCGATCCCTAATATCCACCCAGATCTATCATTTTAGATACCAAGCAGAATGGAAAGTGTATGACAGCACATGGAGACAGGTGAAGCAAATGCTCAGCAACATGACATTTCTGTGCAGCCATGGTGACTTGTCATAAGTCCTGGTACAACTCTGGATTAGAATTAATACATAGGTAAATATCCTTCCATCCATTGAATATTTATACCCAATTTTCCTGAAGAAGAGACAATATTTTTTAGACTACGTGACAAGATAAACAAAATCAAAACTTCCAAGTATGAACAAACAAAATAATCCAAATGGTCCTCTACAAGAATATGAAAATAGCAAGCAAGACAAGCCAGGAACAAACAGGGAATATTATACAGAATAAAATAAAGAAAATACAAAAGCAGAAGCAAAGCAGTAACAAAACTAAAATGTATTAGAAATACCCATCCAAGGTAAACCTAAAACTACATAAACGAAAAGTACAATTACATTTACCTGCTAAGCAACAGATGTTGTTCTGGAGACAATTTAGGACTGCCAGTAACATGAACATTAGCTTTATCTGCAGCTTTCATATACTGTCTTCCTAGATCAGTATTCAGGACATTAGTCAATATCAGTTTGGGTTCTGTCCAATTCTGAAGACTAAAATGTTCATCAAAAACAGATACCTTAGGTTCAGAAATTGGCAAACTTAAAAAAAAAAAAAAAAACCACAACAACAAAACACCCTTAAAAGCCAACCCCTCCGGGAACACACAATAAAAAGTTGCAAAACACTTTCATGTTAGAGAACAGAAAGACAGACAGATACAATTTTAAAATACATACATAACAACACACACAAAAACAATTTTAAACAGCCTAAATTCAATAATTAAAATAGGCACTTTGTAATTTCATACAAAGCAAGGTACTTGCCACAATATATGTAAAAAAAATGAATTTATATCATAAAAAGGTATAAATCATAGTATATACACAAGTCAAAATAAGGCATAAGTTAATCAAATGCACAAGTGAACAGTAATAATCAATAATCTAGTGGATCCACCTAAATATATATAACTATACCCTCCCAGTCAAAAAAGGGCAACATAGGTTTCCACATACATACATATATATATAAATATAAGTGTATATATATATATATATATAAATAAATATACACACACACACACACACACACACACACATACATACAAAAAAAGCAAGAAAAAAAACAGAGGCAAAAAGTAAAAAAAATAGAAATGAAAAGTAACAAGTCCAACATACTGATCTTTGTTTAAACCATTGAAAGTTTGTTTAAAAAAAAAATAAAATCAGTCCATTACACAGTGAACCATATGTTGTTGGATCACGGAAGATATCCTGGACTTCGCAGAGGATCGGCAATATTCTGGGCTGTGCGCTCAAGACCCCACTGTCCTTTCAAAGGCCATTTACAAGAATGCTAACAAGGTTTGCAAAAGAGCGATTAGATGGGCTAAACCTGAAAATTAAAAGCTCATAGCCAAAGACCAACCCCAAAAAAGTTTTTGTTTTTTTTTGTTTTGTTTTTTTATAAGTACATTAATACCAAAAAGGTTAAGAGTGAAAGTGTTTGTCCATTGAAATGTTAGATGGGTGAGATAATCAAGGACTTTCATGTCAATGTATCAATTGGTGTATTTCCTTACACTGTTAAAGGATAATATGCAAGAAATAGAGATATATATCTGTGTGTGTGTGTGTGTGTGTGTGTGTGTGTATATATATGTATATATACACACACACACACACACACACACACATATAGATCTATATCTATCTCTCATGAGCAGGAATCAACATGGTTTTATAAAAAAGACAGGTCATGTCAAACTAACTTAAAGGGACACTATAGTCGCCAGAATTGCTTGAGTTTAATGCAGTGGTCTTGGAGTCTACATCCTGTCCCTGTAGGCTTTTCAATGTAAACGCTGCCTTTTCAGAGAACACTCGTGCCTAGTAGCACCTTTAGTGGCAGTCACTCAGAGGCTCTACATTGAGGCGCTAAATGTTACTCATGGAGATGCATTGATTCAATACATCTTGAGGAGGTGGTGCTGATTGGCGCAGCGTTTTGCTGTGAATGCGCAAGATTAATGATCTTGGCTACAAAGAAAAGGTGAGTAAAAATACCATTTTACTGAAATGGGAGGTGGCCGGTCACCTAAACCGCCACTTCAGGACTATATTGACAGAAATATATATGTTTGTATTCCTGACACTATAGTGTTCCTTTAATTGCATTCTATGAGGAAGTTAGTAAAACTATAGATTAGGATATTCCAACAGATGTGATCTACTTGGATTTTGTAAGGAATTTGATACAGTTCCACACAAAAGGTTACTAGTAGACCTGAAACCCGAAAAATTGTGTTCTTGGATAGAATACTGACTTACTGGTAAAGTGCAGAGAATAGTTGTACGTGGAAAATGTTCAAATTGGACAAAAGTGTTAAGTGGAGTGGCTCAACATTCTATCATGAGATCACTATTCTTTAAATAGATAAAAAGAAAAATCCTGGAATGGACATTGAAAGTAATTTGATGGTGTTTGCAGATGATGAAAAGCTAGGTAATAAAATACAATCTGAACATTATATAACTTCTATACAGAGGTATTTGAATAAATTGGGGTACTGGGCAGGGAAAGTGGCAGATGAGATTCAATACAGATAAATGCAAGAGCAAGCATTTTGGAATAATGAACCCACATGTCACTTATACATTAAATGGGAGAGAAGTAGGGTTAACATTAAATTAAATGACTTTGGAACAATTTTAGATTACAAACTAGGCAACAGTATGCAATGACAGACTGTCATTGCAAAAGTTAGTAAGGTGTTTTTGTAAATAAAAATAGGTATTGATTTACATGATCCAAATATAAATTTAGCCTCTTCACAAATCAATGGTAAACCCCACCTTGAATATGGGGTGCAATTGTGGGTACCAATTATGAAGGATATTGCAGAACTTGAAAAAGTGCAGCAACAAGCTAAAAAACTAGTAATCAAGAAGGAAAACAATTATGATGAAAGGCTAGAAAAATGAAAATCCTTTTTCTTTCTTTGGAAAAAAGGATAGTACTATACAAATTTATACAGAGTCAGTACAAACCGCTATTTGCTAACCTGTTCATTAGCAGGAATATACAACAAACAAGAGGTCACCCATTGACCTCTTGCCTGGAGAAAGGTTCTTTACAGTAAGATGTTGCAATGTCTGCCTAAATAGGTTGTGCTATAAGATTCTATAGATACATTTAAAAAAAGTTTTGGATGCTTTTTTTGCATTCAAGAAGTGTTCCTTCAAAGTTTAATTCTTGACAATTCACACTTTAGTAAATAAGTCTCTAGAATTGTAAGCTCATTTGAGCAAGACTTTAGATAACATCTTGTTGCTGGTAACTTTTTTTTTTTTTTAGTAGGTTGTCTCTTATTTAAAGTTTTTTCCACTTTGTAAAATTATACAGCACTATGAAATATACAACTTAGTACATATACCCCCAATGTAAACATTTAAATATGCATATTTTCATTGGAGGTATATCTGACAACAGCTTGAAAAAGCTGCAGGTCTTTTGTCTGCAGACTTTACAAGCCCTCCCCTTCTAACTCGTGCCCATACTTTCTGTTATCACATTACAGACTTCCCAGTGCAGCTCAATCAGATGTCTTTGCAAGACAGGACCTCTTGAGTTTCTCTCCACTGCGTTAAACTATGAGGAAGTAACAGGACCGGTTGGCTGCTTAAAAGCCAAAGTGGATGTAACAAGGTTTATTTATAAAAGTGTCAATTCCTATAAAAATGTGCACTTTTTGTAAGATAAGATACATTATATTTATTAGTCATTGCATATGATAAAATTTAGAAAATGCATAAGTTTAACAAGTTTATGCACCAATAGTTTAAATGCTTTTCTACAGACTTTGTATAAAAAAAAAGTTGATCCTACCTCCCGCCCCCTTCCATGACTGGACGTCAGACTGAACCCCGAACGACTGACTCAGACGAGCCCGCAACAGGGGCACATTTATCTACTCACTCATTGTAAGCACAGTAGCAGACCACACAGGGAACTGAGACCATATATAATGTTGACACCGGAACGATAACATACCACCTGACTACCTTGACTGGTACCCAGCGTACCCTCACATATGCCTAGCTATACAGATAAGCATACAAACATCTCCACTGACAACTGCTCACCCACAGTAGTGGAAAACTTTATCTAAATCAGCACACTTGGCTCTTACCCAAGTGATCTGAAGGCCTGAATGTAAACAATTGCTCGCTGACATTGGAGTTGTAAAGTCACTAAATGTTTTTTCGCTACTGTAGCTCTATATCATGCTCAACAATATATTTGTCAAGCGATAAAAGGGAAAATAAAGACCATAAAACAGTGCTACCAAAGTGCCAACACGATGCCAGACAATCCTGTCTGACATCCAGTAGGACTGCACAAGTGGTCAGATATACTTCCTCTCCTCCCATCATTTCAAAGTATATGTACTTGACTACAGGAGTTGATAATTTCGATTGTGCTAACACACCTGGCCTCTAAAAATGTTTTCCTATGTTTTTTAACATGAATATTTGTATACTGATAGTCGAGATGTAATAACGCAAAAATGTTCTTCGACATTGTTGTTCTGTACCTTACCCTCTAATATATATGTCAAACGTAAAATGGAAAATAAAGATTGTCAAAAAAAAAAAAAAGTTGATCCAATAAGCATGTCAAATCAAATTGATACAATTACTATAAAAAAGGGTGTCAATTTTAGATGTCTGAATCCTCATGTGACCTTCATATTTATATTATGTATACCAGGTATAGCCAGTAATTTATATGCTAGACATTGTGCAGTATGGCATAAAATAACGCTCAGGTACCCTGTTGGCTAAGAGTCTCTAATGCTGTAATGCCCCACACACTAGTATGCTACTGTATCAAGGTCTAGGGTCTTACCAAACAGTGTATAGTAAGGTAAATATATATTGCATTTTATAATATGGAATTTACGCATAAAATGAAAGCATACATTGAAATAGAATTAAAATCCATTTACCTGCTAGAACTGTGTGATCCACATTTTGACGTGTAATATTCACAGGACTCCTTATTGCGCGTCTTATTGAATAAATTATAAGACGAGCAGGTCTTCTGTATTAAAAAAAATAAATTAAAAAAATAGAATTACGTAATTAAAAACATGATTAATAAATTACCAAAATGTTTGTGAATCAGGACACACAACATTTTTAGAAACAAGCACTTGTTGAATAAATGACAAACAATTTATCTGATGAATTGCACATTTCTCCCAAGACAGAGTGAAACAAACATCAGGAATTAAAAGTATACTAAAAATCCAAAAAGAGATGCAGAGATTGGTTTAGCACCCTAAATTCAGAAAAATGACTCCACCCAAACTATTCAGAGTTTGTCTCCCTAAGATAAGGTTAAAGCAAAGAACTCTAGGCACCAAAACAATTTTAGCTTACTAAAGCAGTTTTCAACTACATATTATGCCTCAGCTGTCATACTGATCAATTCTCCGCCATTTAGTAGTTAAACCACTTTATTTATGTATCCCTTGCCACACCTCCCATGGCTGTGACACACAACCTCCATGAGAAAGAATTTCATTTTCATTCAGATGTCACAGCAAATTGGGTTTATGTTACAAATTCTTATTTCCGGTCCTGTTAACTTAACTTTAAATCACACAAACAGAAGGTTGTTGCAAGCTTTAGCAGGCTATTAACAGAGCTGGAGCCAAGATTTTTTTTTTAAATTCACTGAGCAATAATGGAAGCTGACAAAATCCCAGGGCAATTTAATAAAAGAAGAATTGCGGTGAAATCAAAGTGAATTTAACAATTGTGTCCACCCAGTTGAACTGGAAGAAAAGTGGACTTAGATTTTATTTAATTTAGATATTTGTGCCTTAAAGGAACACTATAGGGCCAGGAACACAAACATGTACATGTGTATAGTGTTAAAAACACTATCAAGCACCACCCCCTCCCCCCTCCGGCCCTCCTAAATATGGTATAAATCTTTATTTTAGTCTGCTGCTGCCCCAGATATGCCTGCTTGGCTGACATCATCAGTAGTTATGAACTGAGACAATAACAATGATTTTACATAGGAACGCATTGGATTGGCTGAGATTGTCAAGGAGGCAGATCAGACGCAAAGCCTGCACAAGTTAAACACAGCCCTGGTCAATGCATCTCTAGGAGGTAAGTTCAGTGTCTCCATGCAGAGGGTGGTGATACTAAACAGCACCTCTAGTAGCCATCTGAGGAGTGGCCAGTGGAGGTCTCCCTAGGCTGTAAAGCAAACACTACCTTTTCTTTGAATAGACAGTGTTTAATGCAAAAAGCCTGCAGGGACTGACTATACTCACCAGATCAACTACATTAAAGGACCACTCTAGGCACCCAGACCACTTCAGCTTAATGAAGTGGTCTGGGTGCCAGGTCCTTCTAGAGTTAACCCATTTTTTCATAAACATAGCAGTTTCAGAGAAACTGCTATGTTTATGAATGGGTTAAGCCTTCCCCCTAATCCTCTAGTGGCTGTCTCATTGACAGCCACTAGAGGCGCTTGCGTGCTTCTCACTGTGATTTTCACAGTGAGAGCACGCCAGCGTCCATAGGAAAGCATTGAGAATGCATTCCTATGTGACCGGCTGAATGCGCGCACAGCTCTTGCTGCGCGTGCGCATTCAGCCGACGGGGCGGAGAGAAGGAGGATCGGAGGAGGAGAGCTCCCCGCCCAGCGCTGGAAAAAGGTAAGTTTAAACCCCTTTCCAGAGCCGGGCGGGAGGGGGTCCCTGAGGGTGGGGGCACCCTCAGGGCACTATAGTGCCAGGAAAACGAGTATGTTTTCCTGGCACTATAGTGGTCCTTTAAGCTGTAGTTGTTCTGGTGACCATGGTGAATTTCAAATTTAAAGAATCATTATAAATTCCTAACAATTCTCAATAACCCTGTTAAACTAGTTTTCAGGAAGCATGTACAGAGACTGTTTGAGTCTTAACCAGGGAAGGTGTGGCTAGGGATTCATAAAGAAAGTGATTTAACATATAAATGTATAGTTTATGCCCCTGAGTGACACTGCAGGGGCATAAGCTATACACCAAAAGCTCTTCATTAAGATGAAAATGTTTTGGTGCATCTCATTAACATTGCACAGATCATGTTTAACTCTTTTTCTCGTGCTGCTTTGTTGCTCTTTATGATTACATGAGATAATTTGGATGCCTCAATATAATTTAAGATTACCTTTCTCGTGGTTACATTCCTGAAGTCAGATAAAGGAGAATTCTGGGGGACATCTTCAGACCAACTTTCGTCTTTCTTCTTAGGTATCCGAAACTAAGAGGAAAAATAAAAATAAATTTTTTTTAAAAATTAACTCAAACTACACAAATGTATTATTTTGATGAACTTGCTCAAAATCAGCACAAAAAAACTGCATACGTCAGTATTGCTTTTAGCTGCAGATGCATGCTAATATATGCTTGTATTAACAAAAAAATGAAAACACAAATAACCCACATAGGTGTGTGTCTACTTACTGTTGGAGGCTTTTCAGTCACTAGTGCATAAGTTTGCAAAGCCTTTTTTTGTTTATCCATCATGACAAATAGACTCTAAAAAAAACAAAAAAAACAAAAAAAAAAATCCATATTTTTATCATTATCATGTATTTTGAGATACAATTCAAGGTAGCATTCAAACCAGAAATTCACCATAAAGCCTTATTTCCCATCGCTCTAATTTGCAGTATCAACCTGCGCAATGCGAAATAATTGATTAATCCCACATATTTTTAACCCCTTAAGGACCAAACTTCTGGAATAAAAGGGAATCGTGACATGTCACACATGGCATGGGTCGCTAAGGGGTTACAATGTCAATGTCTTTGTGGGTCTGGACAAGTATAGTATATAACATTACCCCACAGCTACATTATGTACAAGACACATTGCTTGCATGCAGGCACACACAGCTGCACTCCTTCTGATTTGCTGTGCCATTTTGTTAGGTTATTCTACTATCTGTAACAGGACATGCTCAGTCCCCTGTTTAGTGAATATCTCCATCCATTCCCATGCACACCCAATAAAGACAATACCCAGAGATGAACACCGTGTCATTGGCCAGCACGGCACTGGCAGCCCATGGTGTCAGACAGGCTGTGGTGACACTGATCACTCACCTATTTGCTGTTGACAAGAGTGACGCCCGGTGTTTCCCAGAATGCTCTGCGGTCCCAGCGCTTCCGGTATGATGGCTGTCTGTATGTGGTACAACGCGTAGACCCCCCAACACATACACACACAGCTCCCATGGGATGGGAACCGTAGATGCCCAGATCGATTCCCAGCCCCTTACGAGGGCGGATGTGACGTCTTGGCATGTGGGCCGGACCAGGCGAACTTCCGACGTCAACAAACACCACGTGACTTGACATTGGCAAGGCGGACACCACGTGATCACAGGCCTGGGTACGGGAGCCGGGAGGGCTCACACTGTGCTGGGTTTTAGCGAGTGCCTTTGTTTGTCGTTCGGTTTCCGAAGCGGACGCTGCTGGCTTGCAATGGGTAGTGTTACAGCGGTGACGGTTCCTAAGAATCCCCCGTTACTGTGTCCAGAATGCTTCATGGGGAACGCTATAGCAGCGCTTAGCCAGGCTCCAGCCATGTGTCAGCCCGTGTGTAACCTGTAATCCTGCATGGTGACCCAGCTCACAGCACTATATAGTGTGGGCTTTATTCACTAAATGCAGGGTTTAGGGAGCAGACTGCAATGGCAACACTGAGGTCAAAGTATCCCAAACTATACCGGGTTATTTACTAAAGTGAGAATTCAAAGTAAACCTCACATTTTACACCAAAGTAGCCGCACTAGTAGCATGGACGATTTGGAATAGTTCTTCAATTCAGCTATTTTGCTATTAAAACTGGAATGCAGCTTGAATCCTCACCTTAGTAAATGACCCTGTGTGACTTTATGGGATTATTCACTAATGTGAAAATTCAAAGTGAATGGCAAACTTAAGGACAGAGTAGCCAAACTGAAAGCATAGCTGACTTAGAGAAGTTTTCCAGTTAAGCTATTTTGACCTTAAAATTGAAATTCACTCTGAATTCTCACTTTAGTAAATAACCCTGTATAGCTGAATTGGGGAATTTTTAGAAAAAGCTTCTGTTATTCTTAGATTCCCCATTTCGGATTTAAATTTACTATAACGTTGAGCTGAATTACTAATCTTATGTAATGTGTGAAGTACTATGTTTACAGTTTGGCTCTTTTGGCCTAAAATTTCAAGCTCACATAGAATTTTTGACAATTTACACTTTAGTGAATAACTGACCAGCTCCCACTGGTACCAGATCAAAAGTTAATTAAAAATCTGATATTTGTAATTAGAAGATATGCTCTTATGCATGCACAATCTTATCAGACAGCTGTAATTGTTAAAGGGCATTATGTGGAAAAAGTACCTACACACACAGGGCATTATATGGAAAAACTACCTACACACAAAAAAAGGATTGGAGTAGCACTTTAATCATATACAGACTCTCCTCACTTACCGACCTGGTTCCGTTCCTACGACCCGGTCGTAGAACGAATTGGTAAGAAAGTGCGGAGTAAAGGTATTCCCTGCTCTCCTGCATTCTTCTATATTCGGGGAAATGTCCCTGAACATAGATGAACGCAACAGAGCAGGGAATCCCTCTAATCTATGTTCAGGGTAATTTCCCTGAACATAGATTTAAGGGATTCCCTGTTCTGGTGCACATGTCTGTGTTCAGGGACATTCCCCCGAACATAGACAAACACACAAGAGCAGGGAATCCCTCTAATCTATGCTTGGTCGTAAGTGCGAGCCGTCGTAAAACAGGTCACAAAACGTGGACCACCTGTAAAATGTTGGACACACTGTGCAATATAGAAACTACCTATATATGCCATAAAATTATATGCTTATAAGGTTGATACTGGCTGGCACAGTGATGGGATTCTGGTGCACATGGTTACTCTTCAATAACCTGTCTGACAATTCTAATGCTGTTGATATATGCAGATATTGTCACGAGGCCTCTTGCTTGTTAGCCCACTGTAGTGTTTAATGTGCCATGAGTGCCCTGGCATCCTCCTGGAACTTACCTGGGCACTTTGGAGCACCAATCACCTCCTCCGGGAGGAACCTGTCTGCACTGAGCTAGATAGGCCTTAGCTCATTGGTTGAGGATATCAATTGAGTGCCTGGCTTAGCTTCAGGGAGCTAATAGAAGTTCTGAGCTTTTGTCTCATCTGGAGTCTGTGACTGGATTCTTGGATATATGATTACTCTTTATGTGTATGAACTGTGCAGAAAGAGTGCTAGCTACAAAGGATTCACGTATTTACAGTATAAGTGTCAAATGCAGACAGCAAAGGTTCAGAAAATGATAAACAAAGCCAAGGATCACGATATAAAGAGAGAAGAAGCACCACAGTAATTAGAGGGACAATCCGGCACTTATACAACTTAAATGCATTTGATAATTTTGGTCTCATTAATATGCTGTATTTTTTGCATGCTCAAATCTGTATACATTTTGCATACCAAAAAAAAGATGTTTTCTTGATTTTCCTGATTGCACTATGAGCACGCCTCGTGAACCATACTCCCTCACTCCAGAAAACCACTTCCTTATCAAATGTATGTACATATCTCAGCCACTGAGTGATCTGAACTACAAGACAATCTGCATGAAAATAAGTCACCCAGGTAGATGTATAGTAAGGATATTACCACTTGTTTATAGTTTCTCTTACTGTCTGCAGTCAGGTTGTGAATTAAAAGTAGCGGTCTCGTGGCTGTTGAGGCTGATTCTGTGCGCATACTTAAAGCAGCACTGTCATGGCCAATTCCAGTTGTTGTTTTTTAACCCCTACATCTAATTGTCCCTCTAGTTACCCCGAAATGCCCCTAAACCCCCCATCTTACCTATTTTCCATCTTTATTCCGTGCACGGACCTAGTCCCTGTGTGATACATTATCTGCCCACACTAGATAGCGCTGTGACATTCCCACGCATGTGGCATTCGAACAGGAATTAAATCTATTCATTCGTCAGAAAGACGAATAAATGAATAGAAATTTCAAAAGAATGAACGAAGACCTGTTCGTTTGGTTTATTACAAAGAGGGAGCTACCGGCGTGCATTTGTAAGATGTAAAAATAGAAGCGGCAGTGAGCAGTGCTCCCCGCCACTTCCTAAGTCCCCTCATGTCCTCCCTCACTCTATGAGGGTCAATATGACCCTCCATATTAACATAATATTGTCCTAACCTCGGCCCCCACCCATGAGCGGCGGGTAGGGGCCCTAAATGTAAACCCTCCTCCCAGGTGACTAAGGGTCCCCAAGCCCCTAGTCACCCGCCCACCCAAAAAAAATTAAATTCCTACCTACCCCCCTCACCCTATTGTCCTCCCTCCCGGCCCCCACCCTTGAGCGGCAGGTGGGGGCCCTAAACTACAATAAGCCTCTAGTCACCCCCTCCCCCACCCAAATTTTTAATTTTAAATAAAGTTCTACCTACCCCCTTCACCCTAAAAATAGTGGGGGGGGAATGAGAAAACGAAATCCCTGTAAATAAAAAATAACTTACCATTTTATGTTTTCTTTTTTCAGCCCCCAAAAAGGCCAAATAAAAATTCATAATACCCGTCGAACTTTGAAAATAAAATTTAAAAAACCCGAGCGCCCCCCCAAAAAATCAGACGGAAAAAAAGACACTAAAAAAGTAGTCCATCTTTACCCAGCGAGGGCACTGTGCAGACTGAGCTCTGCAGGGCGGGGAATTTTCCCATGCTGTGTAATTTGACTCATAACTTGAAAGCAACCAATCAGAGTGTTGTTATGAGTCAAATTACAAAGCATGGGAAATTCCAAAGAACTTTCCCATGCTGTGTAAAATTACTCGGAGCACTCTGGGTTTTATTTCAAGCCAACCAGAGTGCTGTGACAGGTAAATGTAGAGACTTACCTGTAAGTCTCTTCATTTACCTTTTAGAACACTCTGGTTGGCTTAAACCAACGGAGTGCTCTAATCCTAATTGCAGGCCGTGGGAAGGCTTTATAAACCTTTCCCCACCCCGCTGAGCTCAGTCTGCACGGTGCCCTCGCTGGGTGAAGATGGATTACTTTTTTTAGCTTCAGGGTGTTTTTTCTGTCTGATTTTTTTTTTTTTTTGCGCTCTGGTTTTTTATTTTATTTTTTAAGGTTCGGGTCTTATGGATTTTTATTTGGCCTTTTTTGGGGCTGAAAAAAGATTTTAGAAAAAAGAAAACATCAAATGGTAAGTTATTTTTTATTTACAGGGATTTCGTTTTCTCATTCCCCCCTTCACTATTTTTAGGGTGAGGGGGGTAGGTAGAACTCTATTAAAAAAAAATTTGGGGGGGGTGACTAAGGGTTTATTGATATTTTAGGGACAATAGGTTCCTCCGCCTTATTGTAATTTAGGGGCCCCATCCGCCATTCATTGGTGGGGGCCAAAGGGGACCCTATGTCCTCTGTTTGCTTGAATAGCCCCCGCATGCATGGCTCGGGGAGGACAATATATAGAATCTTATCAATATGATTTAGCAGGTAAAAAGCTCAACTTAAAAGTGTCAGTCATAAGACATGATTTATTAATTCATAAGAAAGAAAATAAAGTCAACTGTGCTAAAGAGATGCCCCACCATGGGGCCATTTATTGGGGGGGGGGTATTTATTTTTTTACAACAGTGAGCAGCAAGAGGCTAGACATACCCCTACTCGCGATATAGTGAGTAGGGGCAGAACAGTTACTAATACCAAGTAATTTTTACTTGGTATTAGTAAAGTTTGCTGAAAGATCAATCTTGGTCTTTAGCCTTTTGATAGGTAGCTCCCTAAAACTTGCACATCTACTAAGCGACTGCAAGATGCAGCCGCGATCGGATCGGAATTTCATTAATTCAAATGAAATTTCGGACCGAACAAAGTCCCGAATTTCGTCTTAACACGAATGGAGGAACTGCTCTTATTCTGTTAGGACAAAATTCTGTAGGTTTGCCGGTGTTAAGGAATACGGAAAGGAGTCATCTTGAGAACACGGTGGAAAGGTGAGAATTGTGGGAACAATTCACTGACCACAGGAAACGGAGCACACTTTGCTCCTCTGCTGGTCATAGATGGTCAGGCGTAGGAAACCTACTTTTTCCCTATGTTTTAAAGAAAACTAGAGCAGACAGTTAGAAGTGAAGAACAGATCCTGACCGAGGGAGAGAAGAGGAATCGATTAAAGAAAGGTAAGTTCAGCATGACAGTGCCGCTTTAAATAAAACAAAACTGGAAAACCTGTAGACTGTTGACAGCCATTACACTGAGCTGTAGTGGTTATGTTGCTTATAGCCCCTTTTAGTTTTTATGTTTATTTTATGCCTCATTTTTAAATGGAAATGTATAGGTCATGTGCATGGTCATATCTCTGCCATTGTGGTACCTCCTATAATTGGCCCCTGATTCTTACACCATCACCTACAATGTGCAGTACATCAAAAGCTGACAGGGTATTTTTTTATAGAACATAATCAAACAGTTGTGTGCATGTTAGGTACCTGTTATTCTGTAGTAATGTCAGTATATTGTAGAAAGCATGTGCGTAGAAATCATTGTTGCAGACAGAGCAGAATCTACTTTTACATTTATTACATTGACAGTTTTCTTGGGGGGGAGGGGGAGACGAGGAGGGGGAGAGGGAATGTATGTAGTTTGTACTGTTACTTCTTTCACTAAGAGTTGGTTTTCTTCTTACTCAGTTACAATGGAAGGATTGTTGAGATTCAGAGAAAGTCTTGGTATCTCCGAAAGTTTAGAAGACTTGCAGTACTATTTCAATGAACAAGGAGAGCTCAGGCATATGATTACCAAGAAACCCTTTCTATACAACTTCTACAAAAATGGATATGACCGAAACCACAAACGGTATAAGATTCTTGGAGATATGATTACTCTTCATGTGTATGAACTTCTGGAGAAAGAGTGCGACCTACAAAGCATTCAAATTCCAACTGATGCCAGTGATGACGAACCAAAGTCATTCTTTTTCATGAGTAAAGAATTATTAAGTATGCAGACAAGTCTACTTGTTCTTCTTCAAGACAAAGGGGTAATTCGTGCTGGTCAGTGGGGGCAAAAAGCAATATTCCATCACTCTTTAGAAAAAGGTACACAAATTCCATATATTAAGACTGCCATAAGGGACCACATGTCTGTGATAGTATTGAATCCCAATGACAACTTTTTAGAGATGAAAGAAGAAACCCAGATAATTGTGAAAAAGGAAGAAGAATCTGAATTCTGTGATTTACATACATCTCATGTTCACAAGAAGGCTTTCATTCCAAAAAGAGGATGTAGCTCTCCAGAGGAGCACACTAGCTATGTCTGGGACCATTTCATTTCAAAAAGTGCTGCTACTAATGTAGCTTTTATTGCACATGGATATGGTGGGTTGGTTTTTCTTGATCTCTTGTGCAAGAAAAGTGTAGAGGTGATGAGCAAAGTAAGTGCGGTAGCATTCATAGACTCCAGCCACCATACTGAGCATCAAGCAAGAACAGACCCTAAAGTAATGAATTGGATGCGTACAAACTGCAGAAGCTGGGTTGTTAGTTTCAAACCTCTAGACAGACCTATAGGCACTTTAAGAAAATTTGATTGTCACAAAGTATCAGCTGGAACAGAAAACCACGACCTAGCACCCTATAATGCACTCCAGTCCGTTTTCAGATTTCTTGGCCGATCCTCAAAAAGTCGAAGAAGTGTAACCTTCCCATCAAGAACAATGTTAACTCGAAGTGCTTCAAAGAAAAGACAATCAATTTAAACAGTTTATTTATAAAAATCAATAGAGTCAAAGGGGCTATGAATTCATACAAGAACTTAAAAAAATTCCAAAAATATACTGATAGTAGAAAATACACATTGTATGTGTTATGCATTATTCACAAAATGTCTAGAACTTTGTGTGCACTACAATGAAAACATAAATAAAAAGGCAATTCAATTTCCTTTTACGTACATACAGACAAAACTAGTTTTATTTTCTTATTGTATTTCTTAATATTTCAGATTACATTCATACAGAATATCATTCACTTTCTCAGTGAGATTCATTTTATAGCTTCCTTGTCCCATTCATTAACCAAATGTCAGCATCTTTATGGGCAGTGGAAATTCTAAATTAAACCCACAGTGCAATAAGGGACGTGAAATAATTTGAGCTTTTTTTCAGGAAGTGTGCAGGGATTTACTAAATTACAAAAAGTGTAGGTGTGGCCAGGGCTGCATAAACAAAGTGATTTTATTCCTAATGGCAGAGAATTGAGTGGTGAGACTTTTGGAGTATGATCAATATCCAAAAACCGCTTCATTAAGTTATGTTATACAAGTTATTTTGGTGCTTAGAGTGTCCCTTTAACTTCAGCACAGTTGACTTTATTTTCTTTCTTATGAATTAATAAATCATGTCTTATAACTGGCACTTAAGTTGCACTTTTTATCTGGTAAATCATATTGATAAGATTCTATCTGAACATATAAATCAGGGCTTTACATATCCATAGGTAGATTATGTTTCAAACAAAATGTTACAGAGACCATTCAAGATTCCAATTACAACTCCTGGGATTAGTAAAATGAGGATGTAATTGGCATTTGCCACTTTAGTTTTGTCAGTTTTAAAGGAACACTGCCACCCTCGTAACTTATTCAATGCTTTCCTATGGGGAAATACCTGACACTGGAAGTCCTCATGCAGAGTGTGAGAACGTCCAACGTTAGATATCGGACCAATGGTCCGTTTCAATTCAAGAAGTCCCTCTAGTGGCTGCCTAGTAGACAGCCACTGGAGGTGGAGTTAACCCTCAGAGGTAATTATTTCAGTTTATCAGAAACTACAATAATAACCACAATAGGGTTAAGGGACATGAGACATTGCACCCAGACCATTTCATTATTTTATTTTTTTTGTGCAATGTTTTCTTTTTTTTGCTCCAAAAATACATATAATCATTACACAGGTTTCTGTGAGTTAGAGTTAGCATTACACAACTCCCAGAAATGTCTGAAGTGGACATAAACCATTGGTAGAACAGAGCAACCGAGTGAACAGATCACATTTGGTCTGGCATGTGCATTCAATGTATTCCATCAACCATAAAGGGAGATGACCACCAGTATAAAGGGCATAATGTATCTGTGCCATAATCACACTTTAGTCCATGGTAGAAACATATGAAAAGTAGGGGTATAACATTGATTAACAAACTTGAGATAAAACAATCTTGTTTGTAATGTGTTTGTGCAACATGGGGCAAGTTAACCATTCAAAGTTGATGAAAATATGCTTTTGTTTTAAACAAATTACTCTTTTTTTTATGCAGTATTGTAACCAACATAAAAAATAGATACAATCTGATATACAAGTCAAACACTCCTGAGTTTATAAGTACATAATCTATGTAATCAGACTGTTTAACAAGCTATATGCCATGACAAATCCTTATAACTAATAGTTCAGTTCAGAGATACAGTTGTACAGCAATGAGTAAAGGGTGTCAAGCATTCCAATCTGTATCCATTAGACAGAAGATATTCTGGACCTTCGTTGATTATCAGGTTGGTATGCACTCTCGATGTAACTATAGCGGTACTAATCTTCTCTCATGTTAGGTCAATATTCATCATTCATCTTGTGTCTTCTAAACTCCCTGGTACAAAAGATCATATTTAGGAATATCCTTGGGGTCTATTGGACTTTTCACAATTAGTTTCCCACGCATTGCTCCTCTGAAGATTACTTCTATCAGATCTATAAAGTCCTGCTTTGTCTTGAAGCTGCCAACAAACTTTGTGTGATCAGGAGAACTGTTGAAATAATGCATTGATTATAAATTTGTTAGAATGCATATAAAATCTGAGAAAATAAGAGACAAACAAATACCTGACAGCAATATATTTGAGAAGTATGACATGCTTCTAACTATTATTGGTAGGTTATAGTGCACAAATAATACAAAATTCCTTTAAACATCTCCAGAATATGGGTGGTAAATGGTGAGAGACTTGCAATAATAATAATAATTGTAACCTAGATCAGGCATATGTAGGCAGCAGCAGATATGCAATATTAAAGGAAAACTGTAGGTACTGTACACATGGTGCCTTCAGTGTTACCCATTTAAGTCTTAACCCCCTCTCTCACCCCAAAACTTTTTATTTTAATTATCAGAAGAATTGGAATCTTGGGCACCGTTTGGTGAGCCTAAAACTAAGTAGGCATATCCAGACTGCATGTATTCCTAACAAGTGTTCCTCTAACATCAACCATTGCATACACTATCCTCCCCAAAGAAAGATAATTTCACAAACTTAACTTTTTGCTGGTATGTCACAAATGTATTATTAAATTGGACACATGCAGAAATAACAATGACATTGGAAATTTTAGGCAAAAGTATAAGAATTTGGAACATTCTCCAAACTCTGGTATTTTGACATACAGTTTGCAATTTTCTTTCCAGTTCTCCAGGATTCCTGGTTTAGTGAATAACTCTGTTGCCATGATCTTGGCAGAACAATAATGCCACTCAATCGTTGAAATTTGAAAAAATGGGGATTATGCATAATATTTTAAAGTATTATTCCAAACACCATGGCCTCTTTAGTGATTTGAAGTGGTCATGGTGCCTGAAGACTGTATGTGCAGTGTTTCATTTTGAAACTCTGAACATATGAAGTTTAACCCCTTAGCTGCCAGTGAGGTAAGTCCAGCTCTGGTACCTTCATTGGGATGTCACTAGCCAGCCCAGAATATAAGTCCTGTGCAAATTTCATTGCACAAAATTGATACTCTCAGACAATAAATAGCAATGGGCGTGGCTTCACAGGAGCAGTAAGCACTTCATCAAACCACCACAGAGCATCACACCCTTGCTGGGACTCGGATAGAGGGAAAAACAGAGGTGTGGAGGCGACAGGCTGGGCCAGCGCGCGAGAGAACAGTCTTCCTGCAGCTCCTCTCTGCTCCCTCGTGTTGTGTACTGATGGCGGGAGCCAGAATATGACGTATTTCCGTCCCCGGACCCTTTTTTCCCCACGCCGTTCTGGTTTCGCTGTTGCTTGTCTCGCCTCCATAGCCGAGATCTTAATGATCTCAGCTAAGATAATGATTTCCCATAGGAAAGCATTGGGAGGATATTACGTATGTTCTCTATGGGTAACATTCAGCGCCTCCATGTAGAGCACTGACACAGGACTCTAGTGGCTGTCTGAGTGACTGTCACTAGAGATCTTAGTAGGCAGCAATGTAAGCACTGTCTTTTCTCTGAAAAGGCAGCGTTTACATTGAAAAGGTTACAGAGACAGGCTATGGGCACCAGAACAACTACATTAATCTGTAGTGGTTTTAGTGACTATAGTGTCCCTTAAAGAAAATGGCTCCTAACTTTTTTTGCTGGCTCCTAGATTCCAAACAAATTTGTCAAGCCCTGCTTTAACGTCAGTCATAGACTATGGGGTGTAGTGCATTCACCTGCACTGTAAAGACAACTCACCAAACCCAACATGTTGTATAATTAAAAGTATGTTGTTCTCTAATGTAACTACAGTACCCATTTAAATTGCCAATTCTAGAATCTAGACTTACTCTTCACCTTTCTGGAAAACTCCCACTCTATCAGTGTAATATGCTAACTCCTGCTCCTTACTTTTCATTTTCCTTTTAAAAAAGGATGTTGGTTGTGTTGCTTCCTCCTACTCCGTGCCAAATGTGTGGAATAATCTACCAGAGAGTACACTAAGTAAATTTGCATCTACTTACCATCAATCAAAAAGCAACTGCACTCATGGTTAATTTATAATTCTGTTGTGCATGTCTTTTGTATGATAAACTGTGTATCTATTATAGTGCAGTATATGTCTCATATTATGTGTAACAATGTATGCGCTCTCCAGGACATGTGGACATAGCTAAAAAAAAAAAAAAAATAGGAAAATAGCACACATTGCACATCTAAAAAATGATTACCCATAATCCACTTTCATATGTTGCCCATTAAAGAAGAATACAGTAGAAGGAATGAAGCTGATATCAAAGTATTGGGTGTAGACTGGCACTTTTTCCACATCCACAAGATAAATATTCGCCATTTTACTAAGGTCATGTGATGTCTTTGAAAGCTGAAGGAAAAAAAAAAGATAGATATATTTTATATCCAAATGATGATGCAAGCGACTTTATTTTTATAAAACCTCTTGGTAACTTATTTACAATGTCATCAAGCTGCATACAGATGGGGTCATCATCTCTTCCAAATCGAAGGACTAAGACCTTTTCAGCTGTCGTTTTTATTGCTTTATCCACATCAGCTTTATAGCTCAATTTGGGCAGCAGGAAGCTCATATTGTGTGATTGAACATTCAAAATAACCAGCTTCTAGGAGACAAAGATGCAAACAGGGTAAGAATTGGACAGTATTTTAAATAAGCACATTGAATTTGAAAACAGAATAAGCCTAAGTATCCAACAAGGGTAGTCAAGAGGTAGACTATTAGATGTGACAGCAATAACTCCCATGATACTTTGCAAGTCTCAGGACTGACAAATTATGAGACTTGTACTTCTACCAACCCTAGAGCACTGAAGTGACCATCCCAGTAGCAAATTGTTTCAAAGGAGAACTTTAAAATAAATAAATAAAAGATGGGAAGGAAATAGATGCAAACAGTGGAGTATCGTATTCATGTTCTCTAGAAAATTTAATTTAAAAAATATATATTTTTATTTATTTTGGATAGTTTACATAACATGTAGAAGACATCCATGAAATACTTGATATTAATGACAGGACAGTCACGTGCATCTAAAATGGTTTTTTTTGGGGTGGACAAATAAAAACACTATATGGTCTATTCACTCTATTCAATAAATACAGAACGGCAGTCAAAGGCATTCTGTTATTTAAATTTTAACCGAGTGTTTGCTTATACACAAAAGGCAAGTCGGGTTATTTTAACTGCATGGGCAGTCATTCTATTTAAAGAGACACTCTACTGCCCAAATACAAAATACATGGTTTTTTTTAAATCACTGTTTAGTAGATATACCCCAAAAGAAATCTTACATGCATTTAATTATGCATTTTTTCATTGGAGTTATATCTAAAAACTGCTGTTCTATTGTCTGCAGCCTTTGCAAGCCCTCCTCTTCTAAGCCCGCCAGAATGTATGTGGCTGTCTAATCACAGACTTCCCAATGCAGCTCAATGAGAAGTCTTTGCAAGGCTGGTGCTCTGGGCAACTGCTGCCTTTTGGGTTCAAGGGGTTAAAGCTGCTCTTTCATGGGCTCTGCCAATCTTCTTCCCAGTCGTTACAATCTTCCTCAACCTGACAGTGGCATTGCATCTTTGCTTCCTCTTCAGTGTACTCCCGATCTCCTGCATGCCCACTGCTCACTCTTTTCCAATGATCATGGGAGATTTGCGAGATATGACACCAGGCGAAGCATCAGGCAGGTAAGAATTCTGGCAAAATTCACCCTTTGTCAAGTTTTGCCAAGCAGAGGAACAATACATAGGACAAAGTAGTCTGTACCAGTGTTAATTTTGTTGACTAAAAGTTTGGAGATTTAGTCGACAAACAATTCAGATGACTAAAATACGACTAAAACTAAAATGGCATTTTAGTCAAAAGACTAAAGCTAAATTTGCCAACAAAATTAACACTGCACAGAGGTTATGTGGAAGGGGCAAAAGAGAAAGACCAGGGCTTGGGAGAGAGACACCAAGAGGGGCTAGGAGGACACAAAGAGACACAGAGGAGATGGGGAAGGAGCAAAAGAGACAGATCAAGACTTTAACTAAACCTATTATATTTTAGTCATGTTGACTAATATCTCTAGCAGATTTAGTCAACTAAAGTCTACTGGAGATTTAGTCGATTAAAACTAGATTAAAAATAAACAATTCAGATGGCTAAAATACGACTAAAACAGTGTGGCAAAACTAGCCACTTATTTGTATGAAAGAGTTGGTTCGACTATTTGAGGTTCCCGAACAGAATATGGACATATTGTTCGTCAGTCGAACCAACCACCGAATGAGGAAACCACCCAAGGGAGTCGTGTGCCTCCAATTAGCTATTGTAACATCAGAAAACCGCAAGGTTCTAAATGGTCAGATGGGTGGCCGCCGTTTGTATGACTGAACACGTGGTGGCGGCCATCTTTGCTCACTAACGCACAGCGGTGTTTGGTTGTCGAGTGCATGGAACTATAATCGGACACTCGACCGCACGAACACCGCTGTACTTCCATCCTGTTCGTATGTTCATTTCCCTTCGTCTAGAAAGAGCGGCATTCGACTGAATTGAACGAATGAACATCAGGCACACAACTACCCAATTCATGAACATTTTGATTTGTTATTTTAATAGTGAAAACTCTTGAAAGAAGACTGGTCAAAGCATTCCACCTCATGGAACTGTTTTGGGGCTTCACCTCGTGGTTGACCGGTCGAAACTTTACTCGAATGGCATTCCTGTTTTACCAAACGGATCTGAGCGGTATTTCGACAGATTGGGCTTCCAAATCCCGGCTATTCGGTAAAGTGTATTCGTGGAGTTCTGATTAATATTATGGCAGTTATGATGTTTTAAAATATTGTTTAATTTTCTGTACTTGGGAGATAATCTAATTAAAGAATTGTCCTTATGCAATTATCTTCCAAGTATAGAAAAGGAGCCTGGGAAATGTGTCATTGTTCCCTGTCCCCAACAAGGTCCACCAGGGGAAAACCCTTGGAATGTAATTAAAGAAACCCGTTGCATGGGGAATCGTATAAAAGCCAGCTGTGGCTCAATAAAAACCAGTTGACTCCCAAAGCTGTGTATTGTCCGGTTGTTGGAAAATTGGAATGGGAATTGCTGAGCTACGCTTCTCTTGAATGCTGATTGAGTCTGCCAGTAAATACTTCTACTCAGCTACAAACAGCTTTTTAGTCAAAAGACTATGACTAAAACTAAATTGAAATTTGCTGACAAAATTAACACTGGTCCCTACTTTTGTATTTGAAGAAAAATAGAACAGAAAATAAAAATGTATTAAGAGACAGGAGAGACAAGAGAAGAATAATTGATTATGGAAAGGTAACTGTGATGTGACAGAGCCACTTAAAATTCTTCACAGTCACTTTCTATATACACACACAGTTATAGTACCATGCATATGAATTACTAGTCTACACAAGCCAATCACTGAATAAGCACCATGTAATTAATTGAAAATGGGGTGGTCTGACACTTTTATAGATAGGTTTGCAAGAACCACCATGTTTTCAAGGATACATAATGCAAGTGAAAATTTTGTTCTTGCAGTATGTGGCATTCATATGCTGCATGATTCCTCAATGACTGCCTTGATTTCTCCCCATATTGCATGGCAGCATCTTTCCTGAGCTGTCCATCTTTATCACTACCAGACATGTGTCCAGGAAACCACAGTGCTTCTGGAAATGCACACTGTACAGCCCCATCTCAGCAGCCAATTAGTGACACAGTGCAGAGCCCAGGGGTGACAGACTGTCCTACAAACCCATGAGTTTACCTGCAGATGGTACCAGGCTGAGCAGAACTCAGTGTCTGGGATACAGCCCGCCAGGCACCCAACAATCACCGGGAGATAGGAGAGCCCTGTGCACGAGCACACAGCTCTGCGCGTACCCGTCTAAGCTGGGGAGGGAGAGGGCACGTGCGCCTACCCGAGGATCAGCTCGGCTTTCACTGTAGAAGCGGGTACGCGCGCAGTGTGACAGACCGGAAGTAAGTGAGGGAGGCTGTGAATGGCCAGAGTAAGCGGAAGCGGAAGTCAGTGCAGCATGCTGTGTGCCTGGAGGAAAGCAGATTCATAGTGAGTATACCTGGACAGTGTGACCTTTGTCAAATAATAATGATGATAATAATGTAAGACCATCCCTCCCTCCCCCCACTGTGTGTACACTGATAGAGTGCCCTCTGTATATATTAATATCACTGTGTGTTATACAGCTATGGTCTCTGCAGCATGGCTCATGCAGAGTTCATTGATTTAATTATGGATGGACATGTAGTTTTGTATTTTGCCTTATTTTATCACTGATTTGTTAAGGTTATGAATTTTAAACGTAAAAGTGGACAGGGGGAAATAGCTGTTTGCTTGCCAAGTGTTTATTACACAAATAAAGTCTATATAGCACTGGTTGTTGTCAAATAATAGGAGGGGTGGGGATATCATTAAGAGAGCATTCATGTATTGCCGCATTTCTTCCATTCTGGATGTATCCTACAATAGTGTGCAACAGTTGCAGAACTGCTGTCTCCAGACACTGTAATCTCCCCCCGCCCCTCTCCAACACAGAGCTCTAATCTTTCTCATTGAGAAGCCACTAATTTTGATCCTCCAGAGTGTGCATGGAGTTTTCAGCCCAACTTCTTAACCCCTTAGTATCCAGACCGTTTTTCAATTTTCTTAAGGACCAGGGTTGTTTTTACATTTTTGGTGTGTGTGGCTGTAAGTTTCCTCTTACTCATTTACTGTACCCACACATATTTTATACCTTTTTTCTCGCCGTTAAATGGTCTTAATAAAGATACCATTATTTTGATCATATCATATAATTTACTATAATTAAATTATAAAATATGATGACAATTTGAAGGAAAAAAAAACACTTTTTCTAACTGACCTCCAAAATCTGTTGAGCATCTACAACCGCCAAAAAACACCCATGCTAGTTTATAAATGTTGTCCTGAGTTTAGAAATACCCAATATTAACATGTTTTTTTTGTTGTTTTTTTTGCAAGTTATAGGGCTATAAGTATAAGTAGGACATTGCTGTTTCTGTGGATGAGTGTACAGATAGGCACACTTGTACTTAGGGAGAAGGCGGGCAGCACACCTGGCACTTCCATTATTACTATGGAGCTAACATAATTGGGTAGAAAACGTTGTTGTGGAGTGTCACTTTAAAGGTTTCTAAAAAGAAAAAAAAATCCTGTATATTTAAAGAGCGTTTCAAATTTTAGACCAAAATAAAAAAACGAAATGACCTAAACAAACACTCTATGTGCTGCTATGATTGCTGCTAGGAGTGATCTGCTTCCCCCCTATTGTAAGGGGTCAAAAGGTTTTAGAATGGTTTTATCTCTTACCTGGTGCCACTCCCTATCTCCTCTACAGTTTTATGAGAGCCAGAAGCTCCTTTTCAGGACCTCCTATTATGTCTCCAGAACTAAGCCCTTCTGTGCGTTAGCTGATTGCGCTCAACCAGTGAGTTTAAAACCTTCACTGCCAGGCTTAGCTCAGTGACAGAGTTCTCACTGAGCTGATGTGGAGGCATGAAACAGGGCCATTAGGACCCCAAGTAAGAAGTGACTCCCTAGGATCGTGGGGTGCCTGGGCTCTCCTGGCAACATAACCATTAAAGTGCCTTGTAGTGGTTACCATGCTTGGGTTATTCTCTTAAAATAAACTATCATATCTATTATTACACATATATTGTATGTTTATAATTTAAGAGTTAAAAATTTTATATTGTTGCATGAGAGCCAGGACAAAAGCAGCAAATATTTTCTAAGATTATGCACAGCTGGAGGTTTCCAAGATGCTCGGTGCTTGATTATGATGCCAGGATTCATGACTGCAAACTAACTCATTACCTAGGTTTTTTTGTTTACTGATGTATTCAACCAAAGTGGGGTTAAAGGGACACTAAGGGCTTATAATAACTTCTTTGGTGATTATGGTGCAAGAAAGTCGTGGGCACATGCTTACCTCAAGCGGTTTTAACCATTAAAGGACCACTGTAGTGCCAGGAAAACAAACTCGTTTTCCTGGCACTATAGGGTCTTTAGGTCCCCCCTCCCCCAGGGTCCCACTCCTGCTGGGCTGAAGGGGTTAAACACTTACCTTTCTCCAGCGCCAGACTCCCTTGGCGCTGGGGAACTCTCCTCCCTCTGCCGACGTCAGCACCGAGTGAGCATGCGCGGCAAGAGCCGCACGCGCATTCAAACAGTCCATAGGAAAGCATTTCTCAATGCTTTTCTATGGATGTCCAGCGTCTTCTCACTGTCATTTTCACAGTGAAAAGTGCCTCTAGCGGTTGTCAGTGAGACAGCCACTAGAGGCTGGATTAACCCTTGTGTAAACATAGCGGTTTCTCTGAAACTGCTATGTTTACAGCTGCAGGGTTAACACTAAATGGACCTGGCACCTAGAACACTTCATTGAGCTGAAGTGGTCTGGGTGCATATAGTGGTCCTTTAATGGATGGTTTGGTACCTGTTAGTTCTGCCCCTGAACATCCTTTCTTCATCCAAGGCTAATGAAGGGAAGTGGCCTAGAATACTCATAAAGTCATGGAAATGTTTTTATAATATTTGCGTATGTAGTTTTATAACAAACTGTTTTTTTTTCGTTTTCAGATGGCTTTCTGCATTGTATCTAAAGTTAGACATGTTATTCAAACCATTAGATGCAGCTCTGCACATCATACTTTTGTTCAAGAAGGAGGAAATAAATGGTTATCATTAAATGTCCCTTGTCAATGGTCACAATGTAGAACATTAAAGCTGTACCAATGTCTGAAGTCTGAGGATAACAAATTAGATCTGGATGAATGGAAATCTATAATAAAATCTGGTACCCATAGTGTTGAAGTAGAAAAGGATGGCGAGCCGGTAAAGGAAACCTCTCTAGCTGGTATGAGGGAATTGGTAGAAATGTGGAGACTAGCAGGAAGAGCTGTGCCAGAGTCAATGAGCAATGAACAACTGCAAGCCCTAATGGATCTTCCCACAGTCACAGGAAGGAAAAAGTACTTGAAGTTCCTCTCCAAAAAGGAACTGGAAAAAAATAACAGACGCAAGAAGAAGCAAGAACTTCAAAAAGCCAGAATGGAAAGCTTGGATCAGTTAGAAGTAAAGGAGGAAAGCGAAATAAAAAATACCATGTTTTTAAAATTCTGGGATAGCACTATTGATAGCTTACAGCGTTGGAGACTTGCACAGGCAATGCAATTTGGTCAGCCTCTAGTTTTTGACATGGTGTATGACAACTACATGTCACGGTGGGAATTGGAAAACACAGTGGATCAATTAATAATGACAGAAGGATGGAATAGACGATCTATAGATCCTTTTCATATACACTTTTGCAGTCTCCAGACTAATGGCCCATACCATAAACATTTGGAAAAGCGATACACTGGGTCTTGGGATAAAGTCTTAGTAACTGCCACTGAGAAATCTCATGTTGACATCTTTCCCAAAGATCAACTTGTCTACTTAACAGCAGACTCCCCTAACGAGTTAAAGAAATTTGATCATAATAAAGTTTACATTGTTGGTTCCCTAGTTGACAAATGTCAACAGACAGGGTTATCCTTAGCAAATGCCAAACGTTTAAATTTGGCCACTGCAAGGTTACCACTGGACAGATACTTAAGGTGGGACTGCGGGGCTAAAAATCTCACTCTTGACCAAATGATTTGCATTCTGCTAAGTTTAAAGGAACATGGGGATTGGAAAAAGGCATTGTCATTTGTTCCAACACGAAAACATGAAGGGTTCGTACAGCGTGGTCATTCTCAAGAAAAGTCCTCCCGAAAACTGAAAGACTCTGCAGAATGGGGACAATCTCGAGACAAGCCTTTGTTCAAAAAATCCAACAATATACAAAAATGGTAAATATATATATATATATATATATATATATATATATATATATATATATATATATATATATATATATATATATATATTATAGTGTGTGTGTGTGTATATATATAATCGTTTGGAAAATAAAATAAATTGAGATGTTTTGAATAAGCCGAATATTTATTTTTTTAACTTTAAAGGCATTCTATTGCCAAAAATTGTGGTGGAGAAAGTACCCTGCCTGATATCTGTAGCCATAAGATCTAAGGTTGCTTCCTTGATCACTGATTTTTAACATGTCATGATTCCCTTTTATTCCAGAAGTTTGGTCCTTAAGGGGTTAAAGTAGGAATTTGCACCTAGTGTGCATGCATGCCATGAGTCGCCATTTCATTAGGACAACCTTGAAGGAAGGAGAGCATTGTATCAGTGCTTTTCAATGGGATTTTAGGGAACCCTGGATTTTCTCATGCAGAGCCTAACAACCTGGAAGTGGCTCTAATGACAGTCTGGTAGACAATCATTAGAGGTGGAGTTAACCCTGCAATGTAATTATTGCAGTTTTTTTTAATAACTGCAACAGATACCATTGCAGGGTTAAACTGACAGGGACAGTGGAACCAGACCAACTCAATGATTCTGAAGTGGTCTGGGTGCCTATAGTGTCCCTCAAACTGTGAACGTCATAATACTGTTGGCTTTAACTGCAATAAAATTCAATTGTATGCTGTAACGTCTCACCCATGCCCCCATGTACAGATTTGATGGTGCTTTGGAAAGTTACAGGGTCCAATAAAGAGCTTGCCCTTTTCACTTTTTAAACATAGGTTTGCCGGATCCTTGTTGCCTTTGAGAATGTATGGCAGGCCCGAGTGAGAATTACCACCATCATAGCTTACCATTTGCAAAGGTAGACAACCAAGAGTATCCATAAGTACAATGGTACCCCTATGTATAGGTTTTATGGGGTTTTGGAAAGTTACAGGGTCAAATATTGGGCTTGCAAATTAAATTCTTTTGAAATTCTGCCTGGGTTGCCAGGCAAGTCCCTCAATATACAATCAATAAAATCACATAATTATGTAAAAATAATATATAAAATATACGTGTAGAATTAAATTTTATTTTTTATATATATATATATATATATATATATATATATATATATATATAGTGTGTCAAAGTACACTTGGAATGAAATGATATATAATTTAAATCTGTGTGTATTTATTACTTTAACATATTTAAATACTTTTACTAACTATTTGTTGTGGGATCTGCCTGACAACCAAGGCAGACCCCCTGCAGTCTGCCTGGGTTGTCAGACAGATCAAAGTCGTATAATTGCAGGGTCATCTGGATCACATGACTCAGATTACGGGTATTGTTTGCTGGGGGACATCCTAGTTTGTCAGGCAGTCCCCCCGATCATGATCGCCACAGAGGGTAAGTATGCTGGCTGCTGGGATGGCGCCATCATTGGGGAGTGCTATGCTGCCCTAAAGGTGTCAAAGCCCTCCTTTTGTAGGACGGCATAGCACGAACAGCATTAAAGGGATAATCACATACAGGAGGCTCCTGCAAGGTCTAGGAGGCTATTAATTAGATAAATTCTACATGAAACAGAATGTGCAGTACAGGTATCTAAAATGTCTAGGTTACTTTTCAGGATGCTTTTGTAAAGTGTCACTCCAGGCACCCAGACCACTTCTGCCCATTGGAGTGGTCTGGGTGCTAACTCCCACCACTCTTAACCCTGCAAGTGTAATTATTGCAGCCACTAGAGGTACTTCCATGTTCTTAGAACACGAAAAGTAAACAACGCTATGCATGAAGACCTCCAGCATTGCCGGAATCCCCATAGGAAGCATTGAATAATGCTTTCCTATGGGGAGGTCTAATGCGCGTGTGTGCGGCCATTGCCACATATGCATTAGGTCTCCATTGGCGGAGGAACATGGGCGCAGCCTGGCCCAGCGCCATGGGACATCAGCGCTGGATTCAGGTAAGTGGCTGAAGGGGTTTTAACCCCTTCAGAAACATGGGGTGGGAGAGGGGCACTGCATGGTTCTGCAGTGCCAAGAAAATGGATATGTTTTCCTGGCACTGGAGAGTCCCTTTAAGAAGACTGTTTAAAGGGGCAGAGCAGACACATGCTAGATGAACTCCGGAGCAAACCCAGACTAACTTTTAAAGGAAAATAAGTACTGCGCTCAAACTCCCACTACTCCTGGTTGGCAGTAATGACCATAGTACACATCAGCCCCAATACATTAAAAAAACAAAAAGGTTACTTGCACACTATTCCAAATCCCTGTGCATATTAATATTAATGGGGGTTATTTAGTAACTTTAATAGCCATTAGATGGAAGCCCACCTGCCACGTCAAGGCAAACCTCTTAGGTGGGTCCTACACTTACAATTCACCTAGCCTGCTTCAGCTGAAGGCAAAATAAAATCTCTAATGAGACAGAGAGGGTTTTTTTTTTTTTTTTAACTCCTACTTACTTATTAATCCTTAATAGGGAACACATGGGATGGGCGCAATTCGTGGCTAAATTGAGCTGCCGTGCTATTAGAAGTGCAGAGAGAGGGAGAGTACACCACAGCCACACACTGGTAGAACCCCCGTCTCGAAAAAATTATCTATACACCAAAACTGCTTTATTAAGCTAAAGTTTTTTTGGTGCCTGTAGTGTCCCTTTACCTGTCATTCTCTGCTAAATATTGTAATAAAACTGTGTTTTCTTTCTAATTTTTATCATACACTCATATAACAAGGATTTTTTATGTGTATTTCCTAACCTGCTGTTTGCTAACCCTATACAAAATCCCATAATGTGTTCAACTACATCTTAGTACAACAATACCCTCAATGTGTGCCTTTCTCACTATTCTGTGAAGCTACAGTGCCATATAATAGACCATTTTAGGTTTTATAGTTTGATTTTTCATAAATGGATTTCATGGGACAATATCTCAATTTAGGTCATTATAGCAGTTTGATTGTTCAGGTTAAGCCACAATGCCTACCATTTGTGAAAGTAGACTTGCCAGGGTCTCTCATATGGTGTATATTGTGCCCTAATGTGCTACCTTTTTTCACTACTTTATATCAACACTTAATTTGAAAAAAAAAAAGTGGTTTTTTTTTTTCCCCTTTCATTTTTTACATACCTGTTACATATTCTGTTATGTGCCACTATCATCAAAGCCACCAAAATATGCTCCACAATCTTTTCTGAATAAAACAATATCCCCGATGTGTGCCTTTTGGCACTGTCTTGTGAAAATACAGTGCCATATAAGAGACCTAACTATTTCAGTTTTTATAGTTAAAATTTTGATAAATTACTTCGATAGACCTGTTCTGCATTTTGGAGCGTTGCAACGGTTTGCCATTTCAAATAACCCCATAAGTGAATATAATGTGTTAAAGTAGACACCACAAGGTATATTATATGATACTTGAACCTTATTGTCAAGAGAGGGTACGAACCAAAATGTACAGACCCAGAACACAACACATTTTTACTTTTCCATGTACCGCTCTTTAGAGAGGCCATATTAACTGTGGACAGTGTCACAGTAAATAATAGAGGTCGAGAAAAACTGGATAAATGTTAATTTAGCCAAGATCAAAGGAGTACAGAGGTTAGTAAAAATGTTAAACAAGCCAAGAAAGAGATACCAGAATTAAAATACACAAGAACGAGCTATTAGGCTAACTAGAACCACAACAGGGCAACAAGGAGTGGGAGAGGTGAGCATAAATAGGCAAGACGTGTTTCCTATTGGTCCACATTATCTTTAAATTCCATATGATTTTTGGGTGGTTCAAAACCCCATTAGACTGTTTAAATACGTCATCAGATTGTGCCGAATTTGGTCTGACGAATGCTTCAATCAGACCAGAATTCAGTGCGGCATTCGGACTCAGATTTGATCACTCAGAATTATGTGGCACGAGAGCATGTAGCATCACAGACAATTATGGGGGGCCCTGGTAAAATACCAGTACCCACTTCAAGTATGAAAGTTACAGACCAAACAAAGTGCCTGAACATAAGAGGTCCGGCGAATGGGGCATTTGGACACGACTTCAGTCTGGCAAAAGCGGCATTCTGACACACAAAGGCCTGTGAGACATACTTCTTCTTTTCAAAGTAAGGTTACCCAGGAAACACGCAGGCTATAAGGCTACTTGACCTGCTCTTATGCCCACGTGGTGTATCTTCTTACCTGCAGATGTGGTTTACAATATGTGGATAGAACAGGCAGACAAGCCAAAATTAGTTTCCTGGAACACCTAAATAACATCAGAAAAGGTTTAACATCACATTCTTGACGAGCATTTCTCCACTAATCTCCAAACTCTCCTTTTACCTATCTCAAACCTCACCTGTCCTAGTTCTGCAACCTCCTTCTACAATTCCACCCTTTCAACTAGACATCATGGCACCCTGTACATTTAAACGCCGCAGGCGCCCCCAACAACAACCCTGGCACACCAAGCTCACTCGATACCTCCAAAAATGCTCCAGAACTGCTGAACGTTGTTGGAGAAAGTCTCACTGTGCATCTGACTTTCTCCATTATAAATTTATGCTGAGCTCATACAGCTTGGCTCTTTCTTCTGCAAAAATTAATTACTTCAATACCCTCATAACTCTCCCGCAAACCCAAATGACTATTTCACACATTTAACTCTCTTCTTTGCCCTGCTGCTCCTCCTCCACCTACTAACTTGACCGCCTCAGACTTTGCAACTCACTTCACTGACAAGATCTCTCATCGTTCTTCTTCCCTTTACAATACTTCTCCTAACTTCACTCCCTCTGCTGTTCATGTTCATTCGTACCCGCTACATTGGAAGAGGTTTCTGCTGTGCTCCAGTCCTCCCGCCCCACCACCTGCTCCCTAGATCCAATTCCCTCGCATCTCATTCGTACTCTGTCTTCTCTTTCTCCACCGCTCACTAAAATTCTCAATCTCTCTCCTCTGGTATATTTCCATCGCCCTTCAAACATGCAACTGTAACCCCAATTCTAAAGAAGCCCAATCTTGACCCTTACTCCCCATCCAACTATCGTCCTATCTCGCTACTGCCTTTTGCATCCAAGGTCCTTGAAAGAATTGTGTATGCGAGATTGACAGACTTCCTCGAGTCCAACTCTCTGCTAGACCCGCTTCAGTCTGGTTTCCGCACTACGCACTCCATGGAAACGGCACTGACCAAAGTATGATCTACTCGCTGCAAAATCTCGTGGTCACTACTCTATCCTAATTCTCCTTGACCTGTCTGCAGCTTTTGACACTGTTGATCATCAACAGCTTCTTCTCATCCTCCGCAATATCGGTCTACAAGATATTGCTCTCTCCTGGTGCTCCTCCTATCTCTCCCAGCGCTCTTTCAGTGTTTCTGGCTCTGCTTCTTCTCCCCAACTCCTCTCTGTTGGTGTCCCCTAAGGTTCAGTCCTTAGTCCCCTACTGTTCTCCATCTATACTGCCTCCCTTGGTAAACTCATTTGCTCCTTTGGCTTCCAATATCATTTCTATGCAGATGACACGCAAATCTAGCTGTCCTCTCCTGATTTCTCCCCGTCCCTCTTGACTAGTGTCTCTGACTGCTTCTCTGCTATTTCTAACTGGATGGCTGCCCACTTCCTTAAACTAAACTTGACAAAAAACTGAAATTCTGGTCTTTCCTCCCTCGGGTGTTGTTACGCCTGTGTCAACGGTGCTACCATCAGCTCTATCACACAGGCTCGCTGCCTAGGTGTTCTCTTTGACTCTGACCTCCCCTTCAAGCCTCATGTTCAATCTATAGCCAAATCCTGTCATTTCCATCTCAAAAACATTGCGTGCATCCGCCCCTACTTAACGCCAGATGCGACTAAGGTGTTGGTCCATTCCACTATCCTTTCTCGCCTTGACTACTGTAATCTGCTTCTCAGTGGTCTTACGTGCTCCCAGCTTGCACCGTTACAGTCCATAATGAATGCGGCAGCAAGGCTCATCTTCCTGTCCGCCCGCACCTCCCATGCCTCACCCTTCTGTCAGTCCCTACATTGGCTTCCTATAAAATATAGAGCTCAATTTAAAATTCTGGTTCTTGCTTTCAAAACGCCACATAATGCTGCTCCCACCTATCTACCCTCTCTTATACACAAGTATGTCCCGTCTAGGCCCTTACGATCATTGAGCCTCAACCCCTCTGTTCCTGTGTGTCCAACTTGTCTGGTTACAACTACGTGTCTGTTCGTCCACCCATTGTAAAGCGCTGCGGAATTTGATGGCGCTATATAAATAACATAATAATAATAACATTCAGTTCCTCTTCACTACAATTGATGCTCCACTTATGACCCAAAAACAAATTTATGTTCACTATTTTAGAACAGGTCAAATTTAATGAAAGAGGGAGCGACTTAAAGGACCACTATTGGCACCCAGACCACTTTAGCTCAATGAAGTGGCCTGGATGCCAGGTCCATCTAGGGTTAACCCTGCAGCTGTAAACATAGTTTCAGAGAAACCGCTATGTTTATACTAGGGTTAATCCAGCCTCTAGTGGCTGTCTCATTGACAGCCGCTTCCGCGCTTCTCACTGTGAAAATCACAGTGAGAAGACGCTGCCGTCCATAGGAAAGCATTGGGAAATGCTTTCCTACCGACTGTTTGAATGCGCGCGCGGCTCTTGCCGCACATGCGCATTCGGCGCTGACTTCAGCAGAGGGAGGAGAGTTCCCCAGTGCCGAGGGAGCCCGGCGCTGGAGAAAGGTAAATGTTTAACCCCTCTTGACCCCAGCAGGAGGGGGGCCATGAGGGTGGGGGTGACCCAAAAACCCTATAGTGCCAGGAAAATGAGTTTGTTTTGAATTAGTTTCAGTGGGTCACACCACTGCTGTTGATTATTGATTGTAGGATCTGTGTCACATCTTTGACATTTGACTTTTCAGGGACACCCCTCAACCTCAAGTTGATTCTTCTGCGCTGTTGTCCAAATCCTCAGTGCATCTAAGGAGAACAAAGATATGGGATGATTGGGCCTGTAATGCCCCTGCAAATAGTTAAATGCAGTTCTTACAGCTGCTTTGTCTCATTACATTTCTGAAATCCTGCTTTTTAGGTGGGTGAAATTGTAGAGTGGATTTTCACAATCTCATCATGAAAGACTGTTGATCATCGTTTTTTTTTATTCTCTGGTTGAGACAGCTCTCAGATGCCCACAAACACAACAGTCGAGCCATATTTTGTGACCAATATGAGTTACACATGAGCTCCCACTATTCATGTGCGTCCCTTCAACGTGTTAAAATCACAGTTGTGACCCAAAGGTAAACATATGCTGAGGTGGCAACCTTTTTTAAATCACATTGTCTTTCACTAACAGGTGCATACAGCATTCTCTCCATCAATACAGTATATGTTATGTATATGTTATTTTGCATTTTTATTGTAAAGTTTTTAATAAATGTAATATTTAACCATTCAATTTTCAGTTTTTATTTAAATGTTTTCATTAAGTGTTACTATTTAAAATTTGAATTAGACCTTTTTTATGTAAATATAATTTTTTTATATTCTAGTGACATTTCTTTTTTTTCAAATAGTAGTTTTTGGATTTTTTTTAATTCTTTTTTTTAATCTTGATTTATGAGTATAGGAAAACAATTGGTATATATATCATTGCTTTATATTTCTGACCAGTGACTATGCCAACAACCAGCGCCAGCAGTCAGCCAGGTACTTGCACCAGCCGTTTCTCAACCTTGGAGAGGGACAACAAGCCAGCTACAGCCCACTAGGTGTGCAGTCAAACCATTCCCTTCACCTATGACAACCAGACGGGTAGGGGGATACTTGCTGGTGATTTCACTGTAACCAGATTGAGCATATGAGTATTACCTGTACCACAAAGAAGAAGCCTGAGGGAGTAAATGTGGCTGGGAAACAAGCAAAATGTGGATGGGTCTGGGACAGGGGCAGACTGGCAACTCATGGGGCCTTTGGGCAATAGGGGAGAGGGGCTGAGGGAAAGTTATTAAAAAAAAAACTTTTTAAATTAAAAAACAAACTAAATAAAGTTATTTCCCCCTCCCTGTAGCTAACCATGGGCAAGGAGGGGGGAATCCTCATTCCTGGTGGTGCGGTGGTCCGATACACTTTGTAGGTTCCCTGTTGGTGCAGTGTATATGCTCTTCACCAACGGTCTAAATACCTGTTTTCACAGAGCAACGGTATGTGCCTTGTGGTCGAGTACTCTTCAGTTTTAAAGATGGCGGGCTATCATTTGCAATCAAGTACTGTGGCTGGCCAGAGCAGTGGGGCCCCAAAGCACCGGTGCTACTTGTCTTCTTGGACAAGCTTTAATCATGTACTAAGCTTTAATCATGTTACAGATATGTCACACATGAGGTGAGGAGGCCTCTTTTTAATATTAAAGAAGGTAGAAAGGACAACAGTGCTAGTAGAGTATAACAAGATTAGTTAAAACAGAAATCTAAGCACTAGTTTCAGGTACAACACGCAGAAAAAGTACACAGGAGAGCCATATGAATAATTAGAGTAAGCAAATAATGGCCTAACAGGCAGAGACACTTAAAGTCTCAGTATTATGGAGCCTTCATCCTGTGCCCAATTTAGGTAAGAACAGTGCCTGCATGTCAGGACTGTCCATGGGTGCACTCTGATTAGGCCCAAGCGAACACCCACACCAACTATGAGCTGGAATTAGAGTCATCACCAATTCTCCACAGACCCAGCTATTAATCATGCTCAAGTCCATCACCCTCCGGGGTCTGCGTGGATAATATGGACAACGTTTGCTGTGCCTCTGCTTCAGCCTCTTGCTTCCCACCCACAGGTGTAGGTTGTGTTGTGAGGCCTTGCCTCGCCTGGCTCTCAGGCGCTTGTAATGCACAGTGTTGTGTGTAGCAGGAGAGCCCGGTATAGGTCCTCTATAGCTGCCATCATCTTGTTGTGTGAGGATAGACTCATGCTGTTGCTGTTCTGATCTCCGGGACACACAGGTCCAAAAATCGTTGCAGATTTGGTCGAAGGCTGTCAAAATCTCCTCTAGCCGAGAGCTGTGGGTCTAGTCAGCAGGCCTTGCGACCATCTTGGAGGACAGGGTCTTTGTCTCTTGGGTCCCTCAGGCACCTCCTGTGTAGACCGAGATGACCCCCACCAGTCCAAAGGGAGGGAAACAGGGCCACTAATGCGAGTTCAGAAGGTCTGGTGCATTGCCGAGCTGGGGAGCAGCCGCCTCCCCCTCTTAGTTGCCAGTTAGGCCTCAACCTCCAGGAGACACAATCACTTCAATATTTGGGACATCTCAAGCAGCTGAGGTCACCAGCTATTGCGCTATAGCTAGGGCTCACACCTCTTGGTAATATTATTGCAATTAATCGTCAGATGGCAGATCTATAGGCAAAAACTCAGAAGAGCTAGGTCACCATGCATTTGTTGGAGATGGTGGTCAGGCCCCGCCCCATGGATCTTCTATTTTCCTAGTGCGTCCTGGAATGGTAAAACTGAAGGACATTATTTCAGGGAGGACTGTATCCATCAAAGGAACTGGGGTACCTTGATTGGGGTACAGGTAGAAGTTTGGAGGAGGCATGATTTCGGAAGATATCCCTGTTAATGTTTGCCAGTACAGGGAGTGCAGAATTATTAGGCAAGTTGTATTTTTGAGGATTAATTTTATTATTGAACAACAACCATGTTCTCAATGAACCCAAAAAACTCATTAATATCAAAGCTGAATATTTTTGGAAGTAGTTTTTAGTTTGTTTTTAGTTTTAGCTATGTTAGAGGGATATCTGTGTGTGCAGGTGACTATTACTGTGCATAATTATTAGGCAACTTAACAAAAAACAAATATATACCCATTTCAATTATTTATTATTACCAGTGAAACCAATATAACATCTCAACATTCACAAATATACATTTCTGACATTCAAAAACAAAACAAAAACAAATCAGTGACCAATGTAGCCACCTTTCTTTGCAAGGACACTCAAAAGCCTGCCATCCATGGATTCTGTCAGTGTTTTGATCTGTTCACCATCAACATTGCGTGCAGCAGCAACCACAGCCTCCCAGATACTGTTCAGAGAGGTGTACTGTTTTCCCTCCTTGTAAATCTCACATTTGATGATGGACCACAGGTTCTCAATGGGGTTCAGATCAGGTGAACAAGGAGGCCATGTCATTAGATTTTCTTCTTTTATACCCTTTCTTGCCAGCCACGCTGTGGAGTACTTGGACGCGTGTGATGGAGCATTGTCCTGCATGAAAATCATGTTTTCTTGAAGGATGCAGACTTCTTCCTGTACCACTGCTTGAAGAAGGTGTCTTCCAGGAACTGGCAGTAGGACTGGGAGTTGAGCTTGACTCCATCCTCAACCCGAAAAGGCCCCACAAGCTCATCTTTGATTATACCAGCCCAAACCAGTACTCCACCTCCACCTTGCTGGCGTCTGAGTCGGACTGGAGCTCTCTGCCCTTTACCAATCCAGCCACGGGCCCATCCATCTGGCCCATCAAGACTCACTCTCATTTCATCAGTCCATAAAACCTTAGAAAAATCAGTCTTGAGATATTTCTTGGCCCAGTCTTGACGTTTCAGCTTGTGTGTCTTGTTCAGTGGTGGTCGTCTTTCAGCCTTTCTTACCTTGGCCATGTCTCTGAGTATTGCACACCTTGTGCTTTTGGGCACTCCAGTGATGTTGCAGCTCTGAAATATGGCCAAACTGGTGGCAAGTGGCATCGTGGCAGCTGCACGCTTGACTTTTCTCAGTTCATGGGCAGTTATTTTGCGCCTTGGTTTTTCCACACGCTTCTTGCGACCCTGTTGACTATTTTGAATGAAACGCTTGATTGTTCGATGATCACGCTTCAGAAGCTTTGCAATTTTAAGAGTGCTGCATCCCTCTGCAAGATATCTCACTATTTTTGACTTTTCTGAGCCTGTCAAGTCCTTCTTTTGACCCATTTTGCCAAAGGAAAGGAAGTTGCCTAATAATTATGCACACCTGATATAGGGTGTTGATGTCATTAGACCACACCCCTTCTCATTACAGAGATGCACATCACCTAATATGCTTAATTGGTAGTAGGCTTTCGAGCCTATACAGCTTGGAGTAAGACAATATGCATAAAGAGGATGATGTGGTCAAAATACTCATTTGCCTAATAATTCTGCACTCCCTGTATGCCCCATAAATGCCTGTGAATAGAAGGGTTAACAGAGAGCCCTGTACAACCTGAGGTATTAGGTAAATCTTTGGGAGGGCTGTATGACTGGGAGGGAATGCATAGAGTGGACGACTGCACCTGAGCCAGTAGTGTCCTGATAAAGGGTGGAGAATAATTCTCTGGAGTATGGTTGATAGGAGGGAGAGCAGAGGGGTAATGGGAGCCTGTTTGTATCTAAACCAGACCAGTAATGTCTTGTCACCATAAAATTGGGTATATCGTAAAAAGTAATATTTAAAATGTGTGCCAATTGCCAGGCCTTACAGCAGGGATCCTTAGAGTCAGAGAGTGAAAGGTATCACCTTCTCACAAAGCTGAGGTATCAGTAGGGGTAGATTCTTCCTCAGCCAGCCCTGATATAGTCTGTGTAGAGTGGGAAAAAATGCCATAAACCACATTTAGTGTTGCGTTAGAAACCTTATGCGTGAAACCCTAAAGTGCAACAATATTCTTTTAAAGAGCCACTTGTGCATCAACGTATTTGAAAAAAAAATAAAAAATAGTAAATAATACTTGTGGCGGAACCAACCTCGCCACTACGTTCTGGAGAAGCCTGGTTGCTCGCATGCTGCCTCTGGACTATGGTCCCATGTTAAAAGCTTGTATTTTCCCCTGCAGAAAGGCTTGTTCGTGCTTTTCTGCCTGGGTGTTCGGTAGATTGAATCTACCGAACCAACTCACGAATGAACGGACCACCTGGGTAAGGAGTGTGCCAGTGATTTACCTCCCAAAAGCTGCAGTTAACCCCAGGGTGTATTCTTTAATAAATTGTATGTGTTTGTGGGCAAGTTTCAATGACCAACCATCTAAACTACTCCTAAATGGAACATGGACACAGCGTAAAACTTCAAAGTTAGAAAAAAACTGAATAGCTGCGTCTCAAATGTGCCCCTTCAACATCCACATATACCTGGCAAAGGTACATAGCTGAGCAACATATGAATTATTATACAGTCGTAGCACACATAAGGTTTGCAAAATATACTGTGCAAACTCACTTTGTGTGTCAAAAAGGCAGAAAAAATGTGTATTACACTTGGTACAAGCTAGTGGAAAAATGATCCCACGCTAAGGTTCAAAATATGCCTTTTGAAATACCCTGGGATGTCTTCTTTAAGAAATGGTATAGCTTTATGAGGTATTTGGATTATATAGGCTGGTAAAATACTCTAAAATGGGACATGGGCACAGCACAAAAATGTAAAGTTTGAAAAAAACTGGAATGGCTGTGTCCCAAATGTGCCCCTCCGATGTCCACATATACCTGGCAAAGGTACATACGGGGGTATTGCTGTACTCAGCCGACATAGCTTAGCAACATATGAAGTATTATACAGTCGTAGCACACATAATGTTTGCAAAATATACTGTGCAAACTCACTTTGTGTGTCAAAAAGGTAGAAAAAACGCTTATTACCACTACACTTGGTACAAGCTAGCAGAAAAATGATCCCACGCTAAGGTTCAAAATATACCTTTTGAAATACCCTGGGATGTCTTCTTTAAGAAATGGTATTCCTTTATGGTGTAGTTGTAATATGTAGCCTGCTCAAATGCTCCAAAGTGGAACACGGACGCATCAAAACCCTCCATGAAAATTCACATTTAAAAACCTGAACTTGACACGTCTCTTTTACAGCACTGTAACTTCACAAAATAGTGTCTAGGTCATACATTGGGCATATTGTTTTACTCAAAAGACTTAGCTGAGCATAATTTGGGGGGTTTGAACTTAGTGGCACATATGAAATATACAAAATGCCCAGCAAAAATGTAATCCGTATGTAAAAAAATGCCCCAAATTATTTTTTACCACGTGTTTTGGCATATATTCGTGAACAAATGGGGGCATGTTAAGGCACAATATGCACCATATGAGATAGCCTGGAGTGTCTACTTTTACAAATGGTAGGCCTTTGTGTTTTTGTTTTTTTTGAACAATCAAACTGCTATAATACCCCAAATGGAAGCATAGGCTCATTAAATCCGTCTCTCAAAATTCTACTGTGAATACTGAAAAGGACAGGTCTACTATAAGGCACTGTAGCTTCACAAAATAGTGCCAAAGATTTACAATGGGGGTGTCATTTTACTCCGCAGATGTAACTGAACACAAAATAAAACTTTGTACAGGAACAGCACACACCAACTTTACAAAATACACGAGAAGTTCTTTGTTATTATTATTATTATTGCCATAAAACAAAAAAACAAAAAAAACACAATTTTACTCCAATATTTAGCAGAGGTTGGCAGTGAAATGGCTACGTAGAAAGTGTCAAAACAACCTTAGGTAAATAGCCTCTGATGTCTACTTTATATAAATATATACTTTTGTGTGGCAATTTTGTTTTCTTTTATGGCTATTAAGTTTACAAGACAAACATACCAAATTCTAAAATCGCTCCACATTAAAAGTTTGTTTTACTCCTTGTGCTTTGTGAGCTGTAACTACCAAAAAAAACTTTAAAATCCCAGACACATTATATATTCTGTAAATCTGAACTACTAAATTAATTTATTTTTAATAACTTTCCTTAATCTGCACTAATTATGCACACATTATTATTGCATTTTTCTGTATTTTTTTTTTATAATAAATAAGCATTTATATGTTACATCAAATTAAAGCCCTTTCTGTCCTTTAAAAAAAACTGTACATATGTGTCGGTGCAATAAATTAGTAAAATGCAAATTGCAGTTGAACGCAAACAACAAAAAATGCTGTTGTCATTAAAGGACCACTCTAGGCACCCAGACCACTTCAGCTTAATGAAGTGGTCTGGGCGTCAGGTCCACCTAGGATTAACCCTTTCTGCTGTAAACATAGCAGTTTCAGAGAAACTGCTATGTTTATCTATGCGTTTATCCAGCCTCTAGTGGAGCTTCTCACTGTGATCTTCACAGTGAGAAGACGCCAGCATTCATAGGAAAGCAAAGTAATGCTTTCCTATGGACTGACTGAATGTGCGTGCAGCTCTTGCCGCGCATGCGCATTCAGCCAATGACATCAGAAGAAGGAGGAGAGTCCCAGCGCTGAGGGAGCCCGACTTGGAAAAAGTTAAGTGTTTAACCCCTTCAGCCCAGCGAGAGTTGGATCCTGAGGGTGGGACCTAAAGATTATATAGTGCCAGGAAAACGAGTTTGTTTTCCTGGCACTATAATGGTCCTTTAAGTGCAAGACAAGCTTCTGAAGCTCTGTCCTTAAGGGGTTAATGTTTCTCCCTAGGTGACTAATCACAGAAAAAAGAACCCCTAACATTAACCCTAAATGACCCATGGCAATATCTGTGTCAGTGAGAGCATGGGGGACAGTCCGCCCAGTGTCCTCTCTGTACACCCTGCACATAAGGACCTCCCCTCTCTCATTACACAGCATGCAGGACACAGCTCCCATTACTCTTCCTATTCCTTCAGCACAAGCACTAGCCGCACCGGAAGTTATAAGGAGGCTGTCTGCTCTGCGCAGCACCTTCCTTGGGGTAGCGGTGGGCGCGGCTGATCTGCGGAGTGGGCGGGGTTGGATTGCGGTGTGGGCGGGGTTTAGTTGAGCTGACCTGCGTTGTAGGCTGGGTTGCGGAGTGGGCGGGGTTGAGTTGCGGTGTGGGCGGGCGACCAATGGAACATTGACGTCACTGTTGTGTAGTCGGGGAAGATGGCGGACAAGATGGAGCGGATAGAAGGAGGTGATGCGGGCTGTGTGTGTGTGTGAGCTGGCTCCATAGCCATTGGTGTGTGCTGGTGTCACTGTGATCCTATTGCTATAGACATCCATAGCTCACATGTGTGAGAGAATAATGCATGCCCAGCAGGGCTGTCTGCATTAATACACAGCTCATTATCACTGTGTGTGTGTGTCACTGCAATCACATAGCCAGCTCTACAATATGTGCATCTTTATTGTCACTTCATTCCAAAAGGAATGCACATGTAGCATCTTGTAAAATGGATGATAACAGGGTGTATAGATATATCTCCCAGCTGCAAAGGAACTATAACTCCCAGGACTCTGTACCATCTTGGCTGCCAATTCCTCATGGGAGTTGTAGTTCAATATCAGCTGGAGAGCTACCATTAGGCCTTCCCTTGACGTTTTATGGCAATGCCTATTGTTTTCAATTTATCACATTCATGTTTCATAGATATTGCACTGTTTAATGAATATGTAAACCTTTACATTTAATCAGAAAGTTTATACCCTACTCTGGGTGATTCCCTGTAGCTATAGGTGTAGGGTTTAGCCTACACTAATAATAAGGTCCATTCTTGCTACTTTCTTTTTTTTTTTTTTGTGGTTGCTGTTCCCATCATTCAGCTCAGTAGATAAAATGCTCATCTTGGTAAGTTGTTTCAACTTCACCAGGACCAGAAGAAGAGGCAGAAAAAGCAGTGAACACTAAGACTGTTTCTTCCAGCAATGAAGGGGAAAGCTCAAGTCGCAACGCAGAGAAAAGGTCTGCTGAACAGTCCTCCGAGGACTCCAGCACCACACCTTGTCCATCTAAAGTCTCCAAGATTGGATTTACATTTGGAGGTCAAAGTGCAAAGAAGCAACCTTCCATATCTATCAAGCTTGGTGCCAGCGTACGTAGTTCGCAGTTTATTTCATTTCCTCCATCATGTGTAGTATTCATGTGTATATATATATTTTACAATTGCTTCTCAACCTGTGGATAACAGGAGTGCATGTTGTATCAACATATGTACAATAACTTATTCAGTATTGTCCCTCTTATGAAGAAGACAGGGAAATGCACAGATACTGGTAAGTTCATTATTTAATGCAATAAAACCCAATGATTGCTTTAAGGCATGTCTAACGGCTGTAATGTGGGCATTAAAACCCCAAATGTGTGTTGTGGGAGAATGATCATAATAGACTTACACCATAGGATTTATTAGCTAAATTCCAAATTGTAGTAAAATTAAATAGGCAAGTTGTGACTATTGCTGACTTGCGTAATTTCTACAATTCACTTAATTTAACCAAAATTGTGCTATTTAGAATTTGTTTTGTTATATTTGAGGGTTTACTGAAAAACTTCAGTGTATGAATGTATGTAATTGGGGGAAAAAGAAAGCTATAGGAGTTAAAGAGACACTAAAGACACCTGGATCACTCAATTTCAATGAAGTGGTCCTGGTGCCATGCCTCCCCACCCCCTTTTTTTTAAAAGAACTCCAGGTACCATAACAACTTCATCTATGTGACGACGTTATGGTGTCAGGAGGCCCCTTGGCGCACTCAAGGGGTTAGACAGTTCTCAAATGGTTTAACCTCAAAGTGAGCCTCCAGCGACAATCTCAACTTCCACTTGGCGGCATCCGGATTCTGAAATCTCAGTTTCAAAAAGCTCAGGGGTGCCGCTGATTGTCTGAGAGTAGTCAGCTGACGCTTTCAACCAATTAGTGACTCTCCATTCATAAAATTGGCTGAGAAAGAAATTGATCTTTTTTGCTAATTGTGTGACCCCTTGAGGTAAGAGTGCATCTGTGGGCCTCCAGGCACCAGAACAACTTCCTTTACATGAAGTTATAGTGTCTAAAAGTGTCTGAACTGTGCCTTTAATCCTGCAATTAAACATTGCTTGTTTTCATGGCAGGGTTTGAATGCTTCTAGTGGCTGTTACTCAATCTCTAGCGGTGCTTCTTGTAAAATAGCAAAGTAAAATTCTGTTATTTCTATCAGATGGTCACAGAAAGTCCCTCTGATCGGTGAAGTGCGTTGTTTTGCCTTGCATGCTCACTAGCCTTCCACTGTTTTCCTACGGTGAGGCATTGGATTGGCTGAGATCATCAATTTTGGAAACCAGTGCTGTGAGGTACAAAAGGCAACTAAAATACCAACAGGGCTTTGCAGTGTTAGGAATACACATCTGTATTCCTAATGCAATAGTCCATAGTGTTTCTTTATTACTCTGCTGTACATGGCTGTTTTATTTCCTGTGTACAAAACATGATCATACAGATAGATGATGGATGGGACAAGCTTGAAAGTGTAGCAGGAACAGTGACTGATGGTTGAAATTTGCAGAAGTGTACACAGAGATTGGCAGATTGAATGTCTGACATTTTTCAAATAAAAGGTATATGCATTAGTCAAGGACCTGCAGAATGTAAAGGAAAAACAAAAAGCTAGCGATGGACACACTATTGGAGGTAACTGTCAGTTTTTGTTCAAAAATGTGAACTGGGATGATGGTAACTGTAGACCAGGGACGATATCCACTACAACATGCTGCCGTAGTAAGTAGTTATACCATTTAAAGAAGATTTGACAACTAACCTGAATCCCACATGGCACTCATTGCCATTTCCCCTGCTTCCTGAAGCTTCTGCAATGCAGGTTTAGCTGATGCTCAGTGGAAATAAATGAAGCTCAATTTAAGAGCTTTCAGTACCTGGGGAGGTAGTGACTGGAGCTCGTTTGAACCCCGGGAACTTGTCAAACCGTTCTTAAACAGTTTGATTACTAAACCTGGGAGGGCACCAAAGCACTTTTGTCACCATAACCACTACATCATACTTTAGTGGTTATGGTGCATGGAGTGTTCCTTTAACTGTGTTGTGGTAACATATGCATTTGATTTAGATTTGCAAAATGGTTTTTCAAATCGATAGAATATTTTCCTTTTAAAATATGAAATACTGTTGGAAATTACATTGGCATCAGTTTTCAATGGTCTTGATAATTCAGTTTTATGTTGTAGGCCCACAATTAGACTTTGATACAAGGCATAATAGTGTTTAATTTTGTTATGAATGCTGCCTATACATTGTGCAAACTAATGAGTAGATTACAATGTTTTACTTTGTTTACTTATTGGTACACTGCCAGATCAGAATTAATAAGGTAGAAGTGCTTTGTTTTCTTTTTTGTTTCTCTCCTGTTGTCCCTTGTGTATATTTATCTTGTGCCAACTGCATAACTGTATAGGTTTGTCATTATTATATGAATTTTAACTTACAGAGCTGCAATAGGCTATATCATGGCTAATGATTAGAACTGTCACTGTATATCTGGCAAAGCATTGTGGAAAACATAGTTAACATGAGCTTCCATAACAGTTGTTAAACACCAATTTGACTATAGTGAGCAGTTATGGTTATTCAATTAGGACCAAATGCCCCTTTACAGATTAGCAAACATCAGTGCATTTCGACTGCAAAATATGGACACACGTTCTGAACATTTTGGTCTATAATTAGAAAATATACCAGATTTCAGCTACTTTACTTTAGACCAAATTTGAAAGCAGGCTTTTTGCCAGTTCTAATAAAAGCTATAATTACAGAAATCTGTCATTAGCACCATTTTATAAGCTAGCTCCATGGGAGAAAGGGTTAATACAATAGAGGGACCAGTATATACACCAGTAAAAGCATTTTATTTAAGTTCTTTAATTTTATATAGTTATTAAAAGTAAATCATATTTCATTTTTATTGGACAGTTTGCATGTGCTGTCAGTGGAAAAATATTGTGGATTTCTGTAGATTTGCCTGCAAAAAGCAGGTGAATTTATTTAGCAGATTTTTTTTTTTTTTGTAATTCTTTATTTTTGTTGTGCGGGAGGTTACAAACATATCAACAGGCGCCACAACAGCGTCTCAGGATTCACATAGATTAGACAGTGGCATGTGCAGATTTGTAATTGACCAACTTTGTTTAAAATATTGCTAGTGCAGGCTGCGGTTTAAATTTCGTGACTTTAGTGAATAACCCGACTATTGATCTTGTAATGTTTACTTTTTTACATTTTTTTTTTTGTCTCTTCAGAAACCTAAAGAAGTTGCTCCATCTGTAGTTCCCAAAAAGAAAGCGTTGGCCTCAGTGTTTAATGAAGATGATGTAAGCTATTTCTTCTTTTTATATTCATTAGTAACCATTTGTCATTATGGACAGCATTCTACAGGTTTACATTTCAAATTCCTACCTGTTAATTTGGAGGAACTTACACCAGGGCTCAACATGTCCACTTCTCACTAGTTATTGGCAACTGAAAATGTATCCCTGAGTAGTAATTCAACACCAGGAGTATGCTGTGGCATGCATTGACGAGTAACTTTTAAAGTTTGGCTAGGAGCTTAGTACATTAAGTATCTGTTTATGAGTTGTTCAAGAGAAAATATAATTCTTGACACACTCATGCTATGGAATATGCTATGGTACTATGTACACTTTGAGTATAGCAGGATGCAAACATGTTAAATAACGGACATCTTTTTCTGCAGCTGAATTGTCACAGAATACTAACTGATAGAAAAATAAAGAACACAGTACCCATAGCCTTTTTGCACCATAACCACTACAATATGCAGTAGTGATTGTGGTACTTAAACCCTCAAATCTTTATCTCCTAACTGTCCCCGATCAATATGGGTGGGCTCCCCATTCACTGGATCCATTTTCACAGCATCACCAACATATCGTCACTGCATTCTCTTGCCCATAGTATGTGACAGAATCTAATACCCAAGCATGTTCAGTGGTCACCAGTAGTATTCGGTCCCGTGTGGCAATGGAGGAAGGACTGGATAGAGATGTGAGTATGTATCATGAAAGGAAGTAGAGCTTGTCTTAAAGGAGCACTTATAGGATCAGGAACACAAAAATGTATTCCTGACCCTATAGGGTTAAAATCACCATCTATCCACCCTGGTCCCCTCATGCGTTCTCTAAATATAGTAAATCTTAGTTGTATTCAAGTCTGCAGCAGCATGTGCCTGTTTTCATTAGATCTGTCTGCTGACATCAGCAGAAGTGGTAGCCTGATCCAATCACAATACTTCCCCATAGGATTGGCTGAGACTGACAAAGATGCAGATCAGGGACAAGCCAGCACAATTCAAACACAGCCCTGGCCAATCAGCATCTCCTCATAGAGATGAATTGAATCGATGAATCTCTATGAGGAAAGTTCAGTGTCTGCATGCAGAGGGAGGAGATACTGAATGTTTGGATGCATTTTAGGCAGCCATGACCCAGGAAGGATCTCTAACAGCTATCTGAGGAGTGGCCAGTGAAGTTATCACTAGGCTGTAATGTAAACACTGCATTTTCTCTGAAAAGACAGTGTGTACAGCAAAAAGCCTGAAGGTAATGATTCTACTCACCAGAACAAATTCAATAAGCTGTAGTTGTTCTGGTGACTATAGTGTCCCTTTAAGCTCCATCCTTTGTCAAGATTGTCAAGCGTAGGAAAAATACCTAATACAAATGATTTCCTACTTTGTCTTATGTTTTAAAGAGAAATAGATCAGAAATTAAAAAAATTAATTCTGATTCAATAGGACAAAGCTATTTAATCAAAAGGTGTACTTAGTTTTTCCACACATGGCTTCTCCATTTTGGCTTCATTTTTGTTAAATCACGACACAGTGTAATAGGTCATGTGCTGTTGTTTATCTGAGATTATGTATACCTAATTTTAAGACTTGCTAAGGAAATCATGATTGTTATGTCCTGATATGTAAAGCCATAGAATTCAAAAAAGGTTTCTTTCTTTTTCCCATGATTGTATATGCACAATCAATAGGGGTTATGTATTATTTAAAAAAAAAAAAAAATTCATAAAATTGGATTAATGTTTCCTTCAGCCTTTCAACTGAAGCTGCAGTTTTTGTATTATACTTTTGCACAAGTATTCCTTAAAGCGTTATACCAAGCTGCATGATGTTATTTGGAGCTGTGATATAGTAGGTTTTATTTGAATCCTTATGAGAAAATAAAAAAGTGTAAATATTTAGTGATCAATAAATATCATGAGTGAAATTAGTGTATAAATTAATACCTGCTATAGTGCAGAGTGTAAAACCAATACTTTCCAGTAAGAGGTATGCTAATAGGGGTGTCTCTAAATTTCAAATGAGAAAAGAGGAAGGTGGAAAATATGCCAGAAAGATAAGTAAAATCTAGTGAGATCTCATTATATCATTAGAAATGCACACTACCTAAGCTGAGTTGTAAATTAATTTGAATACTGAGTGAATGTCACACTTTTTTTTTTTTTACCATCAAAGCCAACCTCCATATAAATGGCATATAAATAGGGCAAAATTTATGTGGAACCTGGATTAAACATATATTTTAAAGGTTTGTATAGCCTAAGCAGCATTTATTGAGCTCTCTTCTTTAGATACTTTCCTTGTGTGCCAGATTTGTGGACATTTAGTTCATAATGTTAGTGAGATTTAAATTTAAGGTGTTACGTCATATTTCACCAGTCCAGTACCGGCATCTTGTAATACTAAAAAAAAACTAACAATCAAAGAGTGGTCACATGCTTGTCATCTTGTGATTTGGTGTTTATTTTGATGATTTCTTTTACTAGCCATTCATCATAACAGTATGCCATACTTCATAAATGTTCTATATGTGTGATGTTACAAATTGTTAATGCATTTGTGTGGTTTTGCATATTTAATATTCTATGATGATCATTCTTTGCAGAGTGAACCCGAAGAGATGCCCCCAGAGGCGAAAATGCGCATGAAAAATATTGGAAGGTATAAAAGTCGAATATTGCTAGCTATTATACTGCTGTCCGGCATAGGTGGCTCTCTGGCATAGGTGGCTCTCTATTTAGGCGGTAGCCTAATGTCCTGCACTCATTGGGGACTCGCCTAACTGTAGAGGAGGGCCTGTAGCATGGGGCAGGCAGCAGAGGGCTGCAGATTCGGGGGAAGATTTTCTTTTAACCCTTTGGCTGCTGGAAAGGGGGTTGGGGGTTGCTAGGAAAGGTGGTCCAGAGGGCATTATAGTATATAATTCCTTTAATATCCTTCTAAAGCCTACAAGAGCCTCCTGGCTCTGATTGACACAGCCTGCATGAAAACAAAATTGTTTCACTTTCAATCAGATGTAATTTACCTTAAACAATTTTTATCTCTTGCACTGTAAATTGAACTTTAATCACATACAGGAGACTCCTGCAGGATCTAGCAAGCTATTATTATAGCAGGGGATAAAAAAATCTAAGTTAAATAGAACTTGCAATAAAGGAAGAATAAACTTTAGATGACTCTTTACAGGAAGTGTTTAGGAAGGCTGTGCAAGTCACATGCAAGGAGGTGTGACTAGGGTTAATAAACAAAGTGATTTAACTCCTAAATGGCAGATAATTGAACATTGAGACTGCAGGGGTATGGTCTATACATCAAAACTGTTTCATTAAGCTAACGTTGTTTTGGTGACTATAGTGTCCCTTTAACTCTTACATGGCAGATAATTGAGCAGTGAGCATGAGCTTTATACCAAAACTGATTCAATAAGCTAAAGTTGTTTTGATGCCTCTAGTAACCCTTAAACTTTAGAAATTCAGTTAGCAGTTAACTAACATTCTGTATTTGAATAAACCACTTTAAATTTTTGCTTTGTTGTGCATAAACCCCTATTGTAAAATATGTGATTTTTGTGATTTTAATGTAAGTTATCTCAATGCCTTTACCAGGGATACACCAACTTCTGCCGGACCAAACTCATTCAACAAAGGCAAGCATGGATTTTCAGACAGCCAGAAGCTGTGGGAGCGGAATATAAAATCTCAGTTGGAACGTGTTTCTGATAAATGAAATGTTTGGGTAGAGGGGCTGAAGGGTGTCATTGGGAGGAAGATTCCTTTTTTTTATGGATGGATAAATTTACAGTTGTCGACTTATTTCTTTTTGTTTTGTTTGTATTTTTAAGGAAATGTATGACACAAATACACTTGGAGAAAAATCCAATATTGTATGGCTTTTATTTGAAATTTGCAAGCTGTTAAATTAAATACGAAAACTAACAGAATTTCAGCTTAATTGTGCTATGTAAAGAATCAAGCATAAAAAGGGGGTTATCCATAAACATTGTTGCATTCATTTTCATGTTTGTGCCAGTTGAGAGCATATGCCATTTTCTCTATGTATAAAACAATTACTTCACCTTTTCTACATTGAAATTAGAAAGATAAGCCACCAGAGAAGGTAGAGATTGTGAAGGTGACATACGGAGACAAGCTACGGATAGAGGAAAGCAAACTGGGTTCTAATTCTCTCATTTCCGGCAGGTACCTCAACTGGTGCATTAGCTGACTGTGGATAGACCTGCTTATGTTCATGTTAGGATTGACCCCACTCTATACACTGTTGAAAACTTAAGCCATATAATGTAAATGTTGGAGGTCGATATCTGTTGTTCTACCATTAATCCCGAATTGTTCACCTGATATGCAGTTCATCCACATAAGTGGCCAATAGGAGACATCATAAGCCTTTTGTTGCTAAGGGTAGATAATAGCTAGACTTCCATGAGATGCCTCCAGTTAGCAGTTCAATGCTCCCTTCTTGATGCTTGTGTTTATGAAAGTCTAATGCGATTATTGGGTACTTAAATGCATGTACTTATTCAACTTTGAAAATAAAGATTATCAAAAAAAGGGAAGATAAAATATATATTGCAGCTAGAATGGCGGTTGACATGGGTAATTAGAAGGGCCTAAGCCCAATTTAAATATAACCGCTAATAAAGACAAGCCTTGCCTGAGGGCTTGGCTTTAAAACAATTACCACTGGTAAAATGACACTTTTTTTTTTTTTTTTAGTAAAGAAAAATGTTTTAAACTATTAAAGGTGACCGTTTTCTTTTTTTAATTCAAAGAGCTTGTCTTTATTAGTTGTTACCGTTTATACACTTTTTTTTTTTTTTCTGTAAAGCCCTAAAAATATCAGCCTATTCCACTGATGGTTGTGCCATTAATTACATTAAAAAAAAAGCAAAAAAAAATTCATAGTAATATTACTACGAAAAAGGTGCATTTGCAATTTGAGAAGTTTTCACTGACAATATTTATTTTTCAAGAATTACCAACAAGTTACAGTTGGTATGATAACAGTAATGAGTCATCAACCAGGTGTGAAGCCGAATTTCAGGTCTTCTACCAAAAATGAAGTGAGCAAAACATAAGAATATTTGATATGTTTAAATGCATAAACTTAAAAAAACCAAACATGTGGTACTTTTTATCTCTCTTGCTCACTTGGCAATGAGCAATTGTTCCATAGCCCTTTATGCCTTTCACCTGTTAGAGGAGCAGTGATAAAAATGTTGGTTTAAACAAGAGCATAAGGGAGCGAATACAAAATGTGCAAGAAAGACGAAGTAACAAAAACACATTTTATACATAAACCACAAAGCATTTTAAGCATTCGATGCATATCAAATGAATTAAGTGTAAAAATATATATGAATACTGAGCCTGTAGAGGGGGTTACCCGGCCTATAAATACACCGGTCTTCACTTACTCTGGGCCAATGCTTCCTGGTTCAGTACAGAAGCATCTACTTCCGGTTCAAAGGTCGTCAACACAATACCTAAACTCCAAACAAGCTGGTCTTGGCTCTGTGCAAACTACGCAAGTACTCATTTTAAAGAATAGCCGCCTTCCTCAAACTAAAGGGGCACACCTGCTTCCGGCCCAGCCATGGCTTTTTCTGTTGCTGTTCGTGTATCGTGTGTTGTTTTTTTTACAATGAAACCGTAAGTTTGTTAGTTCGGCCAGCGTTGGGCATTGCTATCACTTATATTCAACATGTATTTGGCCTTTCACTAACTAGGGTGGCATTCGCAGTTCAGTCCACATTCAACCCTCATTTGGATATGGTGAATTTTACTACTAATGCAAGCCTATTTCAATCATGCATAGCATCACAATTGATATCTTAATTAGGTTCATACATTCTGCTTTCTGTATTCGGTCATATGGATTTTATCAATTCAGTAAGTTATACGTAAATTTAATGTATAATATGTTATGCCATATTCAGTTTTTCATGTTTGCAGCTTATTAATGTAAGCCCACAGGGTCTTAGTAATACATGTAAGCTTTAAACAGATAAGCATTTGTTGCTTATGGTCATCAGGCCTCTTACAGCCTCAGTACCCAAATGTATTCTATATGTCTGTCCTTTGGGTATTCAGTAGGGATTGAGCGATATTGATTTTTTAGAGCCGATACCGATAATCTAAACTTTCAGGCCGATAGCTGATAACTTACCGATATTCTGTACATTTACCATTTGGGAAAAAAAACATTTTCTACATAAATCTACTGCTAACTGATCATGTTTATATATATATTTTATTAAGGTAAATGCACAAAATATACATGCCAGTAAGAATTTTTTTATGTTTTCAAGAATTTGTGTGTGTGTGTGTGTAGTGGATGCAATGTGTGTGTGTATAGTGAATGCAGTGAGTGTTTGGGTAGGGTGTGTAAAATGAATGCAGTGTGTATATAATGAATTCAGAGTGTGTGTTTGTGTAGTGTGTTATAGTGAATGCAGTGTGTTTGTGTAGTGTGTTATAGTGAATGCACTGTGTGTAGTGTGTTTGTTTGTGGAGGTATGTAATGTGTGTAAAATGGAGGTGGGGTGGCAATTTTTTTTAGTCCCCCCCCCTCCCTGCTTCTTACTTGGCAAGGGAGGGGGACTATGGCATTTCCCTGGTGGTCTGGTGGCACGGACTATGCAGTGGGGGCCCGCCGCAAGTTCTTACCTTCCCAGCAGCTCTCTTCAGCTCCCGTCTAAATCTCGCGGGCAGCGTGCCACGCAGCGCGTTGCCATGATAACCCGTGGCAATGCTCTGACGGCCACAGGACTCGCGAGATTTGAAAGGGGAGCTGCTGGGAAGGTAAGAGCTTGCTGCGGGCCCTTCTGGACTGCCAGGCTTGTCATGGGTTAGGCGGTCCTGGTCTGCATTATCGGCAATATCAGTATCTCTAAAGGCCAATACCAAAATATCAGTATCTCTAAAGGCCAATATTGCCAAAAATACCAAATATCGGCCAGACCGATAATCAGTCGATCCCTAGTATTTAGGCACTTATTTGTGTCTACATTGTTTAGTAATTATATGGCTAGGTGTTGCACCTGACAGTCTAAGTTTATGTCAGGCCCATGTGGTTTACATTTATGGTACTGCCTATCCTGCCATCCATCCACCCTTTCTTCCATCAGTGGTGCCCCGTTACTCAAATATCTCATCATTATTATCTCTAATTAACAGTCCTGCCATTACGGGCCTTTACCAGTCAAGTTGGTTATATACACGTTATGATATGGAGCAGGTCCGTCATATTGCCTCACTATGTGTAAATTGCAACTGTTCCACAGCTCAACAACCAATAATCAACCCGCATCCTATCATTTCAGACACCCACTGTGACGAGAGCAATCTCGCCACATTGCATTGGAGAAGCCTGGTTGTTCGCCTGTTGCCTTTGGATTATGGCCCCATGTTAAAAGGCTTGATTTGCCCCTGCAAAGACAAGAAAGCCGGGTCATTTGGTGCTTGCCCTGTTTGAGCAGTGATACCCCAGATAGCTATGCCCTGGAGCCCATTCGTATAATGAAAGACTATGGGAAAGACTTTGGCTCCATGGCAATTGAACTGCATGTGTGTGCTCTGAGCGCCATTCAGTAATAATGTGCGCTCAGACCTAAGCTATCTGGGGATATGTTGCATGTCTTTATTTTATGTCATAAATGTAACCTTGTGTATTTTATTGTATTTTACTGTCTTTTTGCTGCCATGTGTTCAATGGAGTTTTGCCTCTGTATTTGAAGATAATTGGATTACTTCTAATTATCTCCAGGATAGAAGACTCTTTGGAACTGGTTTTGGGCAGAAAAGCCATGCTTCCTGTGGTCACAAAGGACTACGATCTATCTTTTGAACCACTGGACCAATTTGTATGATTGTAACGTATGTTTGTATTTGGAGTATGCTGATTCTGAAAATGTAAGTGAATGTGACTGTGAATGTGATGCATACTTTTCAAGTTATGAATAATGTGGAAAAATTGTATTTCTCTGCTTGTGCTAATTAAATTACCCATTGTGTAAGTTAATTGTATCACAGGCAGAAGGGAGGATTTTGTGTGGGAGTGTCTGAATGTATTGTATGTGTTTATTAGTTGTGTTCCAAAACCCTGTGGGTGGTACTAATGTGTACATAAGAACAATAAACCCACAGCTCTGTCTGTTCACTGCTTGACCCACAACACGGAGCTTTGTTTCGTTCTTGGGGGGATTTATTGTATGCTGTTCCAGTTCGACTGCTAGGAGTGTAAACCTATTCATATGGTTTTTCCTATTCGGCTGTTTACAGCATTCGTATGGTTTCCGGTTCGGCGGATTGGTGTTCTGCAGGAGCTGTGCCTGTGTCTCTGGAAGGGGAAGATCTACTAAACAGCGGTTTAACCCTTTTATGCTGAGGGTGCCGTTACACCCACTAATTCTCATACTGCCCTTAAATGGCCACCCCGCTACTCATAAATGGCAAGGCCTTCTACTCCTATACCTTGTCACACAGCCCTCTCTAGGTCTCCATTACATATGCTTCATACGGCCCTTGGTGGGCTTACCGCGACGACCAAATTTTGCCCTACCTGCCGCTCAGAGCTTATATATTGCCCTTTTATACTACTATTAAATAGACCACACGGTGTAAAAATAAAAAAACAGTTTGAACACGAGTGCATCACTACTGTCCATGCATAATTCACAATGCATTTCACAACTCCTACAACTTCGGTACAATTTACTTACATTTCTTCCTGCCATAATCCATACATCTCATACAGCCCATTATCCATCCAGCAGCTCAAGACTTACAAGGCCCCCTAGGCCTCAACTCCATACATTACATATGGCCCTCAATGGGCAATCCACTACAACACTATTTCACCCCTTCATGTTGGCAATAACATGCATTTCCAGCTTTACAGGGGTCAACTACAACCCTGTCATACTACAGTTGACTATTCCTTCACAGGCCCACACAATTCTTTCCTATACGACCGTCTCTCTGGTCGCCTGAGAACCTAGAACCACTCATTACACATTTAACCATATTCAGGCCTCCTCAGTTTGTCAGTTTTACCCAAGCCTTGTATAATCCACAACTCCTGTCAGAGACACTTACTAGATCTAACATTTTTCACTCCCTGATAGTAAACTAGAGATGTTCCCTATCTTTCTCATACATAATACAGGTCCTTCTTGTGGAAGGACGCACAGTGGGAACTCATAATTAGATGCAGCACTATTAGGTATCCTTTTTTCATATCCATATTGATTTGCCTAGGCTAATGCTCATGATAACTTCCATTATTATCTAGGTTTATACTATCCCTACTTATCATCCTGTTGTTGACATTTAATTCTTAACCACAACCAGGGACGTATTAGCCGCGAGGCTAACAAGGCATTTGCCTTGGGCGGCATTTTTCATGGGGCGGCAAAAAACACCGCCCCCAAATGCACAGGGCAAATGCCTTGTTAGCCTCGCGGCTAACAGACATGCTGGGCTGGCGGGCGGCTGGCGAGAGAGCACTTCCTCTCAGCGGTCTGCTCAGCTCCCTCGCCAGCCCCCCGCCCAGCCTGGCAACCACTGGACCCCCAGGGAGATAATGAACCCCTTCCTCCCCCAGCACTCCCAAAGGTAAGAAGGCTGGGGGGGCGGGGGGGGGTTAAATAATAATAAAAATAAAAAAAGTGTTAATGTGAGTGACTGTGTG